TCACCTGTGACACATCACCGTTCCCTCATTGCATTCCTCCTGCCTAATTAGCCCTATAACTGTCACACAGTACTTATGATGTGGTCTGATAATTCGCCTATAGATTTATGAATTTGTTTATTTACTTGTTATCGCACAAATAATACTGATTGCCAATTCAAAATATTTCTGGCATTTCTGATTACTTCCTACCCCAAATAACTTCCTCTAATTTCTAATCTCTGGCAGAGAAAGATATTTTATATATTTATACAAATAATACTAAATCAAGGCACCTACACACTGAGCATTACATATTTCACAACAATTGCTGGGCTACAATGAAAGTTTGTCTAAACACACTACAAAACAGCTTGCCTCATAACCAATCCTGAATAGTTATCCAGATAAAAGAACAAAATTAAAAACATACTTTTTAAGGCAAAGTGGGAGTAGGGATAAGGAGAGTATTCAGTACTAAAGATTTAGAGAACCATTAGTATCCTTCTGCATGTTTTCATTCAACATAATAACTAATAAATACAATCCTGGCAAGGATAAAAATACACAGGGCTCGAGGCAAATTCACCCCCGAAATGCCAAAAAGAGCCCCCGAAAGTCATAAAAGAGCCCCCCAAAATGTGCATAGAATTCAATGCAAAACAACTTAAAGAGTTTTATTTTCATGAAAGCAAGCTTAAAAAGTAGCCCCAAAAATAAACATTTTTTCCCTACCTTTTGCATAGATAGCCAGGAATATTAAGAAGAGCTACATGTACTAGAATCTATCCAAAGTGGGCATACTGATAGATACAGCTTTACGTACATGTAGGCCTAAATATGCCCAGGGGGTTGGGCTAAACAATGCTAGAGCTCACTTTGGAGTCAACCAAGAGTACAGTGTATGTAAAAGTTGTATCTTGTATAATTAGCAAAAGAAGATTCCACTTCTGATTTGAACCATAAAATAGGGGGTGGAATACATGTTCATAGTGTAAGCTGCATGGAAGCCTAAAACTAGCTCAACCATGTCTTTTAAAAAACAGTTGTCTAGTTTACAGTGAGTGAGTCTACAGATGTAGAATGTTAAGAATTTATTGTACCTGTAGTACTGTATTAAGCAAATAATTAACACTGACAAGGACTTTTTAGTCCCAAGAACTTACATCTGCATGTACATGCAGGCGATGAAAAATAAACTTCCAAGGCAGCTTCATTGTCTCATTAACGTGACAAAAGAATTTTATCTCATCCAACGAACAAAGTCCAATTTCTTGCATCTATTTCAATTGGATGTGTAAACATTGGTGGGGACGGCCAGGCCTTCAAATTCCAGTATGTATGTGTGTACACATGTACACTTGTACGTGTAAATGCACATGTATACCTGCTGATTTTTATTATCACAAATCATTTTGATTGATTATCCGTCTCCCCATTTCAGCAAAAATCCAGCTCAAAGGTAATCCATGACACATGTATGTACCTCATGATGAATAAAATCAATACTGGGAAAATTATGATCCCATTCCCTGAATTCATGTAGATCTTGCAAAGAAGAAAGTGATCATATTATCTACAGTGAACAATTCTCCTAAATCTAATTAATTACTACTTTAGCGTCTGGTAGTATTCCCTTATGTATAGTTGTTTAAATTGCGATTGTACAGAGCACGAAAAAGGTATAGATAAGTACTATCTACCTGAGATAGTACTTATTGTAAAGTAATTTTTTGCTGCTACCCCACTTGCACACCCTTGCCCATTGAATATGCATAGCAAAGTAGGTTACATGTCAAATGTCAAATGAGCGTGCATCGACTGTATTACGTGTATGCATGTTGCGCTTTGTAAACTCTAGCTGAAGCCAAACTGTCTGCAGAATCAGTTCTTATTATTATGTAAAATTCACTTTAAATAGACCTTATTGCCCATGTGGGATATAAAACAATATTAACCTCCTTTACTCGGGCAATGGATACAAATTATCATCGCCTCTGTGATCTCAGGGCTACCATCATCCCTCGCCTTGGGTAGATAGTAGCCCCGAGATCACCTCAGCGATGATAGTTTGCACCATTACCCTCGTAGTTGATTAATATTTGCTTAATATGGACATTTATAATCATATCAAATTAACTAATAGTCCTTTTGATAATATAAACAATGTAGCTAACAAGCCCAATGGCAGGCTATTACACCATGTGAATTTCTGTGGTTCCCTTAATCCTTAAAAATCAATTTAACAGGATGTACATACATGTACAAATCAATTGTACAACACTGTTACACTTGTACCATGTCCGCTGTACGATAGTTACTGAGACCGGAGAATGTACATTATACACATGTACACACTTCGACAAAGGCCATCTTCAAATCAAAACACCATTTCTAAGGATTCACTCAACTGTCACTTAATCAATAGCTGAACACAGACAGAAAACTTGCAGGCACAAATGGGGTGGAAAGGCCTGAAATCTCTGCCAGACAGCTATACAATAAGCTTTGATAATAAAAGTCTCAGCTTTACATTGTACATCAATAACGTAGAGAAAGAATCCTGAATAGCTGGACCATTTACCATTGCTTGGCAAGGTCACTTACTGATTTATGGACAATGAAACAAACAAAGGAATCCCAAAAATATATGACCCAAAAAGGGAGGGAAATGGTATAAAACCTACAGTGTACATGTGCCGGGACAGTGTTCCACAGTACATGGAGTCCACAGCATTAAAATCTTTAATGTTCTAATGGTTGATTAGAATCAAGTGAATCTCTGGTGGAAGTATAGGGGCACATACCTCCCCCTCCCCCCCCCCCTCCCCCTTCCCCCTTCCCCCACTTCTTTACTTAAAAGCAATATCAATGGAAGGATGAGCTAGTTCTGGTAACAATTGGGGGCAAATGGGCTGGTGGTGAACATTTTTTCCACTACCGGTAGTCTATTGGTTCATATGAACAACAAAAAAGTCATTGAAAGCCTGTTTTGTGTGTTTCGTATTGGCTTCAAAACAATCCGGGTTTCAAAATATGCATTGTTAGTGCTTTTTTCATTTTTATTTTAGAAACTCCAATCTAAAATGTTGCTGTTCTCGTTTTCAATGACATGTGTGCTAGTGCTCCATGTACATACACCAGAGAATTGGGGTGTGTTTCCGTATCCTATAGGTGCTGTGCCTGGAGTGGTGTGTGGCAATGATTGCATATTTTGGCTCAATCAAACGTACAGTACATTCAAACATCCATTGCATGATTCAAACTTAAATTTACTTGTTCAAAATTAAAACTTGTTTGCATAATGTGTACACACCTAATTGAATCTCTGTTTGTATAACTATTACAAGAACTTAAACTGCAAGTGCAAAACATGCTGGTGGGGAGAGAGGAGAGAGGGGAGAGGGGTGAGAGGGGAGAGAGGAGAGAGGAGAGAGAGGAGAGAGAGGAGAGAGAGGAGAGAGAGGAGAGAGAGAGAGGAGAGAGAGGAGAGAGAGAGAGGAGAGAGAGAGAGAGAGAGAGAGAGGAGAGAGAGAGAGAGAGGAGAGAGAGGAGAGAGAGGAGAGAGAGGAGAGAGAGGAGAGAGAGGAGAGGGAGAGGGAGAGGGGTAGGGGTAGAATCTACTTCTGGTACTCTGGTAGTGATACATACATTGTAGATGATAGTGATGATGATAATGATGACAAAAGATAATAATGATAATAATAATGACAACAATAACACCACAACACAATGATGATGAACATTGATGGTGATGATGATGGTGATGATGATGCTGATGGTGATGATGATGATGATGATAATGATTCATTGATTGTGATGATGATTGTGATGATGATTAGATGATGATGATGGTGATAAATTTTCGATTTAGATGATGATGATGGTGATGATGATGGTGATGATAATGGTGATGATAATGGTGATGATGATGATCAGAATTAATGATGAAGAAGATGATCAAAATTATGGTGATGGAAGAATCCTGGATCAATGAACAGGCTTAGACCTACAACATCATGTATTTTAGTAAAGTAAGTAAGTACACTACTGCCTAAAGGTTTTGGCAGCGGGCTGACCCGATGCCCGAAGCGCGTAGCTGAAGAAACGATGTTCGGGTCGCGCCCGAAATCTACCCGAAATCAGCCCGAAATCAGCCCGAAATCTGCCCGAAATCTGCCCGAACTTGCTCACATTTTTGGCAATTGACACTCAAAAAAAATACGCGACCCGCGAGTAGCTTGCCCGCGCCCGCAGCCCGCTGCCAAAACCTTTAGGCAGTAGTGTAGATAATGGTGATGATAATGGCGATGGTGCATGATGGTGATGATGGTGATGATGGTGATGATAATGATGATAATGATGATAATGATGATAATGATGATTATTGATGATAATGATATGATGATGATGATGATGATAGGAATTATAAGGACGAGAAAATCAACACAGAAAAATGAGAACAAATACAGTGGGCAAAGGGGGTATCAAAACCATTGGATGGAGGAATTAAAGAGAACACTAAATATCAAATATTAATTCACAGGCAAAGAATACATGTATGCACAGCCACCAAAACATGATGTGTAGTGCAGGAAAATTAAAAATCTAAATTTAGAGTTCAACACATGGGGGGGGGGCTGTAATTTAATTTTTGTGATCAAGGAATTTATCTACAGCTACATGTACATGTAGATAAGTATCTCTTTGACAATACTAATAGATTTATAGACTAGCCTTACCCATAACATAACTCATCTAAACTGGGGTAAGTAAGTTTCTTCTCTTCTGTTGTACAAACTTAAATGTTTCGCGCATCATTATGTGAAATCCTTTGTCATTGCCTTTTCAATTTCCAAAGCTGCGCCGCGCCGGGGCTTTTACTTAACCAGCCTTTCACCATCACAATAACACAATAACCCAGTACCGGTACCCATCGCATCGCGCACAAGCACATCCCCGGCTCCCTAGATCGGGGACGCACCGGGTGAAACTGGTCACTCGGTTTCGCTTGCTCTTACCTGCCAATATCTTCTCCAATTTGATAAAACTCTTCCACCGATTCCGTCCGAAACATCGCCATTTCCAAGGACCCTGTATTTCCTCAGTGATTCAAATTTGTAGACATCTCGAACTTGAATATCATAAACATAGTAAGTGATAATTCCAGTGATATACAATCCAGGGAATATTGGGAAGCCATACACTTCTGTCACTGTTAGAAACCACCTTGCATCACTGCACGCTCACGGTGCGCGGTCCCGGTGAAATTCAATGTTGTATGGGTTGCATATGTTTATAGTGCATAACGCATGTGACGTGCATTAGTGCAGTCATCCATACAATAAAGGCGTTCGGAGATTTCTTTACTTTTGTTTACTTTATACAAGAAGTAACTTCTTGCTTTATATGATTCGTCAGATTTTTCTATAGTTTGATCAAGTTGATACATACAAGCGCACACACCACCACCCCTCTTCCCCAGGAGCGGATCCAGGGGCTTGGGGCGCACGCCTCCTTTTTACTTGTACCTTCAACAACCGCTCTAAAGGGTAACTTTTTCACAAAAAATCCCTAAACATGGGTGTTTGCCATGCAAACACCCCCCAAAACAAATACAAATTGTGAAAAATGCATCAAAATGACCCTTAATAAAGGATAGGGGTTTCGAGGCTTGAGCGGCACACCCCCATCCACGTCCAAACCAAATCTGAGTCAAATTTCCATTTGCAATCAGCTCTAGCAAGCCTAATTAACTCCTTCACAAAAGAATTAGATATTTATAAATAATATATCTCTTCCTCTCTCTCTCTCTCTCTCTCTCTCTCTCTCTCTCTCTCTCTCTCTCTCTTTCTCTCTTCCTCTCTCTTTCTCCCCATCTCTCCTTTTTTCCATCTCAACTCTCTCTCTCTCTTTCTCTTTCTCTTTCTCTCTCTCTTTCTTTAACCCCCCCCCCCCCCCCTGCCTCATCTCCCCATTTTCCCAAATTATGAACGACTAATTAAAAGAAGTTGTAACATCTATAATGACAAATTAAATTATATAATGGTAGTGATTCAAAATCCGTTGCAGATTATCATTAAATGATGAAACAATTAGCGTAATAGACGTTGGATAAAATCACAACATGATAATGGATATTTTAAAAAATACAATAACCTGCTGAACGACCGTAAGCTGGCGCTGTTGATTTTGTACGGAGTGCCTTATGGATCTATATGACTTTGCATTGATTAACGACTGATAAAAGAATCGTGGATCTTGAGAGGGGTATCAAATTGATTTATTGGGTAGGGGCCCGGAGAGGATGGGGGGGGGGGGGGGTACTCAGATTTGGTTTTGACGGGGTATGCCGCTGAAGCCTCGAAATCCCTATTTTTAAGCGTCATTTTAGCGGATTTTTCTCGAAGTAAAGCCCACAATTTTGAAAAAGCGGACCCATGTTTAGGGGTATTTTTGTTTAAAATGGGACCTATGTTTAGGGATTTTTGTGTGAAATTTTTCCATTAGAGCGGCACACCCCCGTATGTCTTATATGTGAGTGCTCCCCCCCCCCCCCCCTCCCCCGGGTAGGGGAACGTACACCCGAGCTACCCCCTCCCCTGAATATACCATGTTCTCTCTCTCTCTCTCTCTCTCTCTCTCCCTCTCTCGCTCTCTCTCTCTCTCTCTTTCTCTCTCCTTATTTCTCTCCCTTTTCTCACCTTTTTATATCTTTTGAGTACTCAGTTCGAAGTTCCAACAACAGAATTACACATGATAACGATTTGACTTTTTTATATAATATATAATATACTGAAAGACTCGATGTATTTTTACTTTCCAAAGTAAAATTAATATTCAGTGCAAGTATAAACAAAAATAATATGTAAGTGGAAAGGGGCTTAGACATTGCATTGTACTATGCTAACTCATCGGACTAAAATATTGTACATTTAGTACTCGCCTGGTTACGAACAACATACTGTTACACAAAATTAAGTCTTCAGTAGTGGTGCACTTATACACGGCACTTAAAATGCAGAGACAGAGTCAAACGAATCAATCGTTTAATAAAGAGAGTTTGTAACATTGTTAAAGGTAAAGACCAGTATTGGAAACCCCCAATTTCAAAAAATGAAATGGAAGCTCTCATTACCAATCATGTGAAAGAATATGTTTTTACTAATACATGATGATAAAAAATTTGCCGGGAAACCGCCTACTAATTCATATATTTGGTAAATTTGTTTCTCTCATGGTCTGTGAGAGATATAGGGTAGTCCCATATACATCTTTCTGTGTATAGTGCTAGTAACTTTACAAAGAATGGGCCAAATTTCTTATCATTTTGATGATTCCAGAACCTTGCAGATGCTAGATGCTAGATGATCAACCTTTTCTGATCGATTCCACAACGTTTCTTTCACTATGCAATCGCATGACCATAACTGGTCTTTACCTTTAAGATGAGAGAACATTTTGCTGAGGTAGTAACTTCAATCCCAGATGTAGAATTAAAGATAATCTGAATGTTTGAGTGAAAAACAGACCATTATTAATGATACAAATTGGGAAAAAGTGATCTGATCGTAATTTATCATAATAAAATTTCAGATGAATGTAAATCGTCATGAAAGCAATGAATTTGCTTCATGTACCATTCCAAACATTTAAGTGTTGACAGATTTTAAAAAGCCAGTTTTATGTCTAATTTTCATGAGAAAATGGTTGAGAAAATCCAAAAATTAGTTGGGATAATTTACTGTTATACGCCTTCAAAGAAAACCATAAATATCTTTGTAGTTCCCCGTGTGGTTTGAGTATTTTTTTCAGGATTTTGTGCATGTTAGAGGGTTAGTACAGTATATAGGAGCAATGTAATAAGTAACATTTTATACACAAATTACGTAGTTTTTTCCATTAACGTTCAACAATGTTACCGGTTCACTTTTTAATGTACTCTTTACAATATCTTACGCTAGGCACGTTTTTTTTTCTTCTGCAAAAGGGTTGAAATCGACCTTTTTATGAGAAATGTGTACAGTTATCATGGAAGCTATAAATGCATGTGGAAATAATGGCTTCTACAAAAGGTGTACACGTACCTAACCTGCTGAAATCAGACGAGAGATGTCAAACTACTTAATAATGTAACATTTCGATAAAGGTATTTAAAGTCTGGAGTCCATGTAAGAACTCTGACTCAAAGTTATTGGTCCGAATTCACAAAGGAGGTTTGTATTGTCGACAAACCTAGGTTTTATTAGCGTCATAATTATGACGCGTTTCGACGCGTTTCAAACCAAGGTTTGTACAAAATATATGACGCACATAATCCTATGTTTGTCAACAAACCTCCTTTGTGAATTCGGGCCATTATGTGTGAGATAGTTGGACAAAAGGAGGATTTAGATCACTCTAGAAGCTTCTATGAATTGATCATCAGATCAGGGACAGACTGCCCTACAAAAATCTGGCTAATCTGCATGTGAAGCACATTCTATCCATAATGATTGTTACACGCACATCGTCATCGAAATATCAACGCAACGGGTTGCTATACATTGCATGTTATACATGTAATATCAAGTGAGAACAAGATGGGACTAGTATCCACATTCTTAAGATCTGGGGAAAAATAAAGAGAAATATACGCCAGTTGAGACCAACGGTGGTCTACAAAAACCATCAAAATACTACTTTTAAATTGTTCTATTCGTCAAGAAAATTTCGATTGAATAATTCAATGTTTTAGGATGATTCCTTCGGGAAACAAAGACATCACGAAAATGGAAAGAGTATGTCCACAAGGAAATATTCAAGTAGGGGAATTTTTTAAAAACTTTAAAGAGGGTAATACGTAAAAGGGCGTAGTTGTCTGCAAACTTACTCGACGAGGTATAGTTGTCTTGAAAACGGTTTTTGATTTAGATAAGGGGTCAACAAAAAAGATGTTGTATTGCCCTTTGCGCGACCCAAATATCTTGAAATCTACGGTGGGCGTTTTAATAAGGATTTTTTTTTTTTAAACCTCTTTTTAGAAAAAAAAATGTATCAAAGCATTCAAACTTTGGAAATATCAGCCTAAAGAGGGAGACCAAAAATAGATTTCCGACCGACCGACCGACCGACCCATGTTTTGGCACTTAAAGGGCAATACAACATTTTTGTTAAAGGCCTAACTGCATACATTTCGTGTTCGTAAGTCATAGCTAAAACGAACACACAAACAAACAAATAAGCAAAACAACTGTGTTACGTTTTTTCTTCCTCAAACGTTCTTAACGGGGTATGGTTGGACTCGGTTGATGCGGGAATATATTCTGATGAGAGCGATCTTGATTAATCTGAGGACAAGGAAGAGGACTTCGAAGACGCTGATGAAAGACATTCCGATGTACAATCCCATCAGACCACCGATGCTACCAAGAACGCTAGGGATCTGAGGAGTTAAACAATTTGAAAATACACCAATGATGATGATGATGACAATGATGATGATTGGAATTTAAATTGTCAACTTCACATTTATTTCCTTCATATTGACAAGGTGGTGAACAATGAAAGAACAGTGAAATAACAAAATCCAAAAGCAGAAGGAGGGGAAAACCATGATAGCAATATTTAATGCTTGGGTTGGGAACGCCCTTTAGCTTGGACCAGGGACTTGTCCCTGCTTGGACAATACACAAGGACAATACAAGTAACTTTAAATACAGGGAAGAGAATTAGTCATTGAAGGATAAATTCATGTTTGGTAAGAACTTTTGCTAGTAAGAACCTTTGCGTATATTGTTACGATGGCAACACAGACCCAAGGTATCAGTGTACTAGAATATTACTTATAATAAGCAGCATAAATCTCTCATAAAAACCGGCTGACATGACTGTCCCGAGTCGTATACAATCTTATACAAAATATAAAAAATAAAAGACGGTGATTTTTTTTTCTACAAAAAGGGAGCAACGTCAAATTCAAGACGTAAATATAAAATGATGATGATGATGATAATAATAATGACTATGATAATATTAATAATAATAATAATAATAGCGATAATGATAATGATAATAATATAACGATAATGATCATAAGAAAGTCTTGATGGCGGCCATTAATTTGTAAGATGGTTGCCTGGGCCCTCTTGAGCACAATCTGAGATTCTCTATTTTATATCAAACATATAACACCGGTTCCAAAGATACCTATGACACAAAACACACAGATAATTATGATGTATTTTGTTAGTATACTGCTCCGTTCATACTCACCGTGTACACCGGTACCATTTCTACGACTTCGTAGTTAAGATCTTCATAAAAGATCTTCAAGCGAATCAGATTTTTTCTGTTAATATCAAAAAATGAGCATAAAAGAATGAAGGTATTCCTAATTAATTTTCATTGAAAACGTTTGCAATTAAAATCTTCGCTCTTTTTTTTTACAAACTGTATTTTTGCTTCTTCAGATGACGAATTAGTTCAGTTAGCAGCTTTTTCGGTGGAGCATTATTTTTTTTTACGAAATAGAACAGCATTTTTAACATTTTTGAATTTTCCGTTTTCATCTCGATAAATTTTCTCTCATGTGGTCATAAGTCCTCCAAAAAAAAAATTCTTCTCAGACCATTAATTGAAACATTTTTGACATTCAAAGTAAGTTTAGTGATTACAACTATCAAAAGTTCATAACTTCTTGCCTGTAGATAGACATTGGTAGATTGGTAGATTATATGAATGTGTGTGTGGGTGTGTGTGTGTGCGCGCGTGTGTGTGTGTGTGCGTGTATGATTTTTCTCGACAGGGCATTAAAATAAGATCAAGAGCAGCTTGGTATGAAGATGGAGAAAACAATACGCAATATTTTGAACAGTTGTTAAAATCGAATAAAAGGAAAAGTGTAATTAGGGAGGTGTACAAAGAAAATGGGGTATCTACTAGAGATAAGGAGGAAATTTTAAAGGAAATTAAACTATTTTATAAAGATTTATATTCTTTAAGGGCTGATATAAATCAAAACGACCCTTTCTTTTTTAATGATATTTCAAAATTAAATGAAGACAATAGGGAAATCTGTGAAGGTAAATTAACTAAAGATGAATGTTTGAAAGTTTTAAAAGAAATGAAATTGAAAAAACCCCGGGAAATGATGGGTTAAGAGTTGAATTTGATTATACTTTTTGGCCAGTTTTGTTAGTAGAAGTATTGAATGAAACACACGAAAGGGGGGAATTAACGGCATCTCAAAAACAAGGGGTAATTACCTTAATTGAGAAGGAATCGAAAGATACTCTCCATATAAAAAATTATCGACCCATCACGCTTTTGAATGTAGATTATAAAATTGTATCTAAAGTTCTAGCAAAAAGAATGAAAGAGGTTTTAAATGAAATAATTCATCATGATCAAGTTGGAAATATAAAAGATAGGAATATTGGGGAAGCTGTACGATTGATAGATGACATGTTATTTTATTCTATGCATTATGGGGAACAAGGGAAAGGGTTTTTGTGTGCAGTGGATTTTGAGAAAGCTTTCGACTCTGTATCTCATAGATATTTATTTCAAATATTGAAATTGTTCGGTTTTGGAGATTCATTTATCTCTTGGGTATAATTATTGTATAAAGGGATAAGTAGTTGTGTTATGAACGGTGGTCACTCCACGGGGTATTTTGAAATAGAAAGGGGAGTAAGGCAAGGGGATCCATTATCGCCATATTTGTTTTTGGTTGCCATCGAAATTTTGGCGCATGCAGTAAGGAGGGACAACGGTATTAAAGGGATTACATTTGGAAAATCTGAAATTATGCAAGTGTTATATGCCGATGATATGACAATATTTTTGAAGGATATTGATTCGGTTAGAAGGTTGCAATATATTTTTGAATCATTTGAACAAATTAGTGGTCTTAAAGTGAATAAAACAAAGATACATTTTATGTGGATGGGTGAGGATGAGAACAAACCTGATGGGCCTTTATTTGGAAATTTGGTTAAGGAAATACATATTTTAGGGGTTAGTTATTCATTAGATCAAAGATTAAAAGATGATTTGAATTATAAAGAAATTCTAAGTAAAATAAAAAAAAATTGCTTGTATGGTGGAAAGAAAGAGATTTAACTATTATGGGTAAAATACATTTGCTAAAAACTTATGCGCTTTCAAAATTAAATTATATTTCATCTCTCGTTATTGTCCCTCATTGGGTATACAAAGAAGTTGCAAAGATTTCATTTGAATTTATATGGAGGGGGAAAGATAGAATTAAACGGGCAATAATGTATCAGGATTATGACTTTGGAGGATTAAGAATGATTAATTTTGAAATGTCCGTTAAAATACAGCGCATAATGTGGATAAAACGTCTTTTATATGGAGAGAAATGTTTGGGATGAAAATTGTTTTTGATCACTGCTTACAGTTCGTGGGTGGTAGATTTATTTTTGTATGTGATTATGATTTTAAAAAGATTAAACTAGTTTTAAATATTCCACCATACTATATGGAAATGTTGCAAGCATGGCAAGAGACAAGTAATTTAAGATATTTGGAGGGTTATATTAATCCAATTATTTTTAATAATCAGAATATATGTATAAATGGAAAAAGTATATTTGATAGATACTTGTTTGAAAGAGGGATTGTTCAACTGAATCATTTGGTTGAGAAAGGTCATGTTAAGTCTTTTAAATATTTTATGAACCTCGGTATGAAAGGTAATAATTTGCTTATGATTATTGATATTTATGATGCGATACCCAGGTTATGGAAGGATGATTCAGGGTTAATAGAATTCCTCGAGGTTGATTTGATAAGCTTTAATACTTATTTCCATATTTCTAGTAAAAAAATACAGTTTGTGGATGTGGGTTCAAGAACAATCTATGATTATTTTATCAAAGCACTGCAACAAACGTATGATTTGCAGGTAAGGGATGGGCAAAATGATTATGATTTTATAGATAAAGAATTAAAAGAAATATTTGTTAGACCAAGAATTACTATACTCATTAGAAAACAACGTGAATTTCAATTTAAATTATTGCATGGAGCCGTATACAATAATGAGCATCTTCATAGATTTGGTTTTGTTGGTGATAATTTATGTTCGTTTTGTAAGCAGGAAATAGAAACATACAAATATTTATTTTTATCTTGTGGGAGCGTTCAAAGGATATGGCAGGCTTTAATACAACTTTTTGAGTAAGATGAAATTAAAGATTTAGAATGACGAGATATATTTGTTGGGTTGGTAGGTAGTTCATATAGAATAAAAATGTGCAATACTATCATTTTCATGGTGAAGTATGTTACATTTATATCTAGATCGGGGGGGGGGGGCGAGTACTAACTTTAGAAAAGATGAAAAAAAGCATTTTTAAGTATAGGGATGAGGAAAAGAAAATAGCAATTCAAATGGGAAAGCTAGGATCACATTCTTAAAGTGGGAGCAGCTTAAGATTAATTAAGATTTGTTTTCTTCTCCACCGTGAGCCTGTTAAAAGCGTAACTCTATTTTGCGACCTGGATAACTTATTTAGTATATTTTTCTTGAGTTAGGAATGTTGGCAGACATCCACTGAGTGAGTAGTGTGTGTGTGGGGGCGGGGGTGGGTGGGTGGGTGAGTATGTGTGTGGGTGGGTGAGTATGTTTGTGTGATAGAGGGTGAGTATGTTTGTGTGATGGAGGGGCAGGGAGGGGGCAGGGAGGGGGCAGGGAGGGGGCAGGATTGTTTCAGTAAAATTACCTCCAGATTTGTTTAAGTTTTTTTTTTGTAATATATAAGTGAATAACATTTACAATTGACATATTACGTTTAGGTACTTATAAGTTTACTTTGTTGCTAAGTTATATTATACTGCAAATAAGTTTGTTTTTAATTATGTTTATGTAAAAGCATCAATATTGAACACGTTTATTTTATTCAATTGTATGTTATGGTTTGTATTACACATTTGGAGAAATAAAACAAAATTGTTTAAAAAAAAAAAGTGTGCGCGTGTGTGTGTGTGTGTGTGTGTGTGTCTCGGGGCGAACTAACCTGCTTAGTTCGTTGCTCTGTAGTACCCTTATGAGATTTTCATTTGCAGATCCATTCAATCGGCGCAATAAATGTTCCTAATAGGAGATCAAATTGAAAATGATTTGTTGATTAAAGAAAACATTCAAATATTTGTAAAAGTAACCGAAGTAACGTTTGACCCACATCACTATTATGACCCAGGCTTCGTAGTTTTAGTTTCATCATGATTACCCAAGAGAGGAAATGGTGCCACCCCCCCCCCCCCTTCCCCAGGCATGTCGATTTTGGACGGAAAGATTTTATCTGATTATTGCAGAATCAAACGAAAATGCAATAAGCATCAATTTGACCTTTTATAAATTAGTAGTTATATACATGTACATTCAATCTTTAAAATTAAATTAAATTTTAAAAATGTCTTACCTCATAGCGTTCTGATGGCCAAAGCGATGACGAGGGCGTCCTTACGTATTTGAATTCTCTAGGGAACGATATAATTAGACGTCAACACTATATTTATAACACGGTAGAAATAATTATAAAGCTTTTCATGCATTCAAGTAAGTATTGACTGATGCGGGGGAGGGGGTGGGGGGAACCGGCCCCTGTCCAACTTTGAAATTGATGTGGCATACCTTGTGAACAACAAAATGTAATGATTTAGTCTAATCCAATAAAGGAAAATTAAAACTAGCATATATAGACGCACTCTTTATAAAAATGCACTTTACTTTAAATAGTTTCATATTTCGTCGGCTCTAAGCCAAAAGGGCGTTGACTCATCCTAATGTACATAAATTATTGTTAAAAAACCTTCTGGGTCTGAACAGATATTTAGGCTCAGAGCCAGAAAGACGTTATACCATACTTAAAGTTACTCGGTAACATTGTTGAAGGTTGGTGAAAAAACTGCGTAGTTTTTGTATGAAATGTTTATTATGCTCCTTTTACTTTACTAAACCTTTGACATGCAAACAATCCTGAAAATTTCTCAAACCACAAATATATTTATGGTTTTCTTTGAAGGTGCGCCCTCTTACAGTAAATCTCCCAACCATATTTGAATTTTTCCAACCGTTTCCATGAAAATATGACATAATACAGGCTTTTCAAAAGATTTCAACACTTAAATGTCTGGAATGGTATAAAGAGCTAATTCATTGTTTTGTGACGATTTTCATTTACCTAAAATGTAATGAAATTGTATTAATATAATTGGGAGAATTAGGGAATCGATCAGATCAGTTTTCCCCAGTTTTTAGCATTAATAATGGTCTGTTTTCACTCAAACTTTCAGATTATCTTTAATTTTACATCTAGTATTGAAGTCACTACCTTAGCACCATTTCCTCTCATCTGAACAATGTTACCAAGTCTCTTTAAGTGAAGATTGTTCATGCCTTTCTGGCTCTTGGAAGATAATATTTACAATGACTCACGTGCAAGGCGGAGGGCAGCTACACGGTAACTTGTCATCGAGGAACAGGTCTTCCACAAATTTCCGACAGATTTCTGTTTAATAGTTGGTGACATTGAATTAAAAAAGAATGAACAATTTTATCGAAATAATACTTAATGTTTAATTAGAATCTATTTCGGGGGACTAGGTTTTCACATATTTTATGCCCGTCCACACATGACGCGCGACCCCAATGAGATTTTCTGCTTCGTATGAGAACGTGCCTTTTCTGTTGAATGAAATTGAAATTGTTAAGTCTTGAAACATGATACATGTATATGCGTTAATTGGACCTGTATGTGAGTATCTATATCACAGGATTAAGAAAAGTGTTTATACAAAATATATTGATTCCACTACATGTTATAAAACTGAAGATTATGAATCTCAATAGTCATGTGCACTGCATAACTTCCTGACAGAAGAAAAATAGTTTCCATTTTGAATGGCCTGTGGGAAATTCTGTTCCCCCATGGAAAAGATTTCGGTTCCAAAACCTGCTCAAATCAAATTAATGAAGGATTCAAAATCTCAGCGTTTTCTCAGTCCCATGCATGCTATGTAACTAGTTGTTTTGGAACTAAACTCTACTTACGGTGGGTCATATTCAGCACGTCACACTTTGTGGGGAAACCGTCATAGAATTGATCGTCAACGCATTTGCATAATTGACTGAGATGGAGCTGGTAGCAAATCTTTTTACATGCCACCGAAGAATAACTCAACTCAGTGGTGGAGGTGAAGTTAGTATCCTTCCCGTCAGAGGTACAGTTCGTGTAGTAGCCTCCCAGTCGCTTGATGTATTCCTGAGGAATTTAAAACGTGAATGGAAAATGGCTTGTACGTGGAAGCGTGAGAGAGTACGAGAGAGGGAGAGAGATGGAGGGGGAGGGAGAGAAAGATTGAGAGAATGCAATATGGGAGGGGTTTGAAAGAGATTTTCCTCATCTCATTATATAATGATAATTAGTATTGTTGTTGTTGCTGTTGTTGTTCCTCTTATACTGTAATAATAATATTATTATTATCTTATCTTATGTAATAATAATATTATTATCATTATTATTGATTACATGATTATTATTATTAGTAGTAGTAGTACGGCCTAGTTGTATTGTAAATATTATTTCTTCTTCAGAATGTTCATTTTTCTTTAAGGGGATGTCCATGTTAGTTGGTTTCGAAAGGAGCAGAACAATTGAACAAACAGATCAGTGAATAGTTGAGCAAAAACCTTAACATCCGATAAGATAGTTCTATTTTACCTAAAGAAAAGTTTAATCATTCAGACATGCATCTTACCTTCAATAGACATAATCTAATTTCATGCTGTAATCCCTTCATCAATAATTCCAAGAAAATTGAAAATTATTCAACTGTCTGCACAAAGCAAATACTTTGTGTTTGTTTGATTTTACGACTTCAGTTTTTTGTTGGCTCATATTTCACTGATCAGTTTTTCCCATGCTTCTGGGTTTTTTAAAAATCATCTCGATATGAGGCAGCTCCCCAGTTTAAAAAGAAATACCTGTCGAATCCCTATCGACGTTTCTTGTCCGGTTCCCAGAGACAAGGCATTGTCTTCCGGAAACGGATATTCATTAGGATGGTGAATGGTGACCTTTGCCCCCGTTTGATGCGAGAGAACGCCTAGATACTCGGGTTGCTCCACGAAAAGCGTCAAATGTAAACCTGAACGAAAGAAAATAGATAATAGAGTTTACATAGGTTCTCTTCCTATCTTGCTAACAGACTACATAGTGTACCGTGTCAATTAGGTGTTCGTAGTACTTTTTGACAGTCAAATGTGGGGTGCCACAAGGCTCAGTATTTGGGTCCTTGCTGTTTTGTACATGCCTAAATCATATCTGCAAGTTAAAAACTACAATAGTCACATTTAATCTAAGCGCTTTACATTGTGATTATCATTACCCCAGTCATTGGTTTCAACCGCTAATCCGCGCATAATAGTGCTCTACTCTCCCAGGGGAGTATTCCGACCAGGCGCTATTTTATAAGCGCACACATGCCAATCTAACCACATTAACGTATTATTAAAATCAACTAGATATTGGGTTGGAGCTCTCCAGTTTAACAAAAATAACTGTCGAATCCCTATCGACATTAACGTTCGCACCCTACCGGATATCCATAGAACACCTATAGTTGGAGAGTGGCACATGTAGATTAATTAGGGACTTTTAGATTCGCGTGGACTGATACGTGTGCCGTCCATTCAAGGCAGTGCATTAAAAAGGACGTCGATCGTAGCAATCCCCATTGTCTTTGTGCGAATCTAAAAGTCCCTATTATGTCTTACACACGGACGACAATCGGGCCGCGCTGGGTCTCGAGCGCTCCATCAGAATTTCACTTCACATTGAAAACACATCAATTTCTTCCCCAAAATAGTGTTTTTTACCGCCAAATGTTCCTTCAAAGCAAATATGATCTGAGAAAGTGGAATGGCTATAATGATACTTGATGAGGTAATCCCTGAAGCAGCTTTTCCAAGCTATACTGGGATGGGATGTGTTGTGACAGCAGGTGAAGGTGCAGACAACAAAATGGTGTACAATTGCTTTATACAGTAAAATAGTGACGTGCAAGTAAAAAAATCATGCTGCTATATGGTTTACAGCATTCTGGAACCTACAGGAGGTTCCAACCCTCTGATGACAGGGAGGGCGGTCATCTGGAAAGCAGCAACTGTTGGGGCAGTAACTGCAGTGAATGGTAGTTGATTCCAGATGCGAATGGTGCGGGGGTAAAATGAGTACTTGTAGGAGTCTATTGTTGCCTCAGGAACAGAGAGCTTGAGTGTGTGGTCTCTTCTGCTGATGTATGTAGCTTTGGTTATGAGGTGAGGAAGACAAAATTCATATAACTATGATCTATGGGTCCAAGCGAGCACTTGGAAATCACATTTTTGAAAACAATACAAGAAGTGAATATTTGGAAAGTTTCACGGATTTAAGAAAAAGAAGAAGAAACGTTGGGCTAAAGGTAATTTTCCCCGTGTCTACACACACAAAATTCATCGTATAGCTATCCCTAAACGGTATATACGATGATTCTCTTCATACGACGTTTCTTGTGTGTGGACGCCATGTTCGCTATGCGATGATTCTTTATACGACGTTAAATTATAGAGTTTCGGGATGATTCTTGTTGTGCGTGGACACGCTGTTAGATAAATACAAACAATGAAGACATTAACAACAACAAATAACTGATGGAAAAACAGGACTAATTCTTCACTGAATAAGGTCTCTGGCTATTCACTATAATCACCTATCTTCGCTCCAGTGATCTCAGGAGAGCAGACAGCATGACACTTTGAATGAATAATCGCAAGAGTGGATGGAAGCTTGCCTACTAAATATTAAGGTTGGTAGAAGCTTAAAGGTAATACAAAGTTTTGGGAAATTTTGAAAATTGGGTGGATAGTGAATCTTTACAATTTTGATATATTTGGATGCCCCTGTGGATGTAGTATAAGCACTAAACAAATTAGCCCCTAAAACACTTTTTGAAAATTGAATATAAAAGTTTACCGGTGCTCCCGGTAAATTTTGATAAATTTCAAATAGCGCCTATGGCCGTGCAGTGGTAGTTGCGACCATGAAACTATCAGAATATGTAGTTGTGATATATAATTTCCAAACGGGAATAGCTAATTGGTCGATTTTAGTCAAGAAACATTGTTTCATAGCTAAATTAATATCTTGACCTTGAGAGGGAGCTATACAATTTAAAGAGTTTATTATTTATAATTTCATAACTTTAAACTCGATTTCAACCGCGACAACGATCAATGAATATTGTAGGAACGCATATGCTTCCAATAAGTTAATTTAAACCAAATTCATGACCCCATACCAAAATTTTGTAATACCTTTAAACTTTACGTTATGACAACTCCAGCCGATGACAATTTTCTGTATCAAATTTATATTCGGCTGTCTGCTTTTGATTTAAAGGGCCTTTTCCCAATTTCTAAAAATACTCCAAATATGTATTAAACCATATTCTATTTATTTTCAACTCTCTTCTTTCTCAGGAAACCTTGATTGTCATTCAATTAAAAAAATGTTATGCTATTATTGCAAGTAAAGAGAGCAGAGGGGGTTACTTTTTTCCCTCAATTAATCGACAGAAAATGGATAAGACTTTACCAAACTGACAATTTGTTCTCACCATTAAGACCTCCTGTTTTGCCCGTCAATATATTCTTGTTGTCCGGAGACAATTCTGTGTTGAAGGTGAAACAGTTACCATAGTGACGATTCTGCCAAACGTGGAAATCCCGGCTGAAAGAAACAGGGGGAAAACAATCCTGAAAGTGTAGTCTAATATATTTATTCAATAACGGAACGGGGGCGGAGAGCTTCACGTTTCGACCCCTAAGGACTATCTCATAACCAGTTCCCATCAGTTCAGTTCAGTTCAGTTCAATTCAGTTCAGTAGCAACTTTGTACTTAAGAGATATTAATTTGTCAGTTTACAATTGATTGGAGGACCAGCCCGGATAAATCGTAACTCTTTATATTGAGAGCCATGGATTAGCCATTGTTTCAGGATCCAGTGCTGTAAACTTTTTAACTTGCGGACAGTTTCGATTTTAAATTGCAAAAGTAAAACACAGTCCATCTGTGGGATTATTTTGTTAAATGTAAAAACTACAATATGTTATCATCATTCGTGCACCTTATTGAATTCAATTGTCAAGCTTTGTTGACTTTTACGGATCCACAAGTACTATTGTTCAAACTTTCTTTGTATTTTTGTAATTTTTTTTTGTATGTTTATTAATGCTACTTGACATGTAGTTTTAAATCTTAATCTGTTATTATATTCCATCAATTATTCTTCTTTGCCTCTGGATAAGATGTGCATCAAAATAATAACAGTAACCATCACAACTATTCGTCTTTTATAATATAGTCCTACATAAATATGAAAAGATTTACAACATATTCTTTGCAAACTGTTTCAAATTATTGTTTGAAAATCAGCATTCCGAATAGCCATCCTGTTCGGCATTTTTCTGACATAATGACGTGTAGGTATAACATTATGTATCATTTCTGGTCAATTCAATCCAATCTAAACTAACCTGATATTACATGGTCGACGATCGAAGGTACACTGCACAATGAAATCTTCCAGCTGGTGACCGTACTGTTCCAGCTCTTCCTTCGTCGGGTTGATGACGTTAAGAAAGTCGCTGTAGTCATCGGCTTTGGAGGCCTCATAGAAGCCCTGCCAGTCTTCTCCACCAGACACTCCATCCCAGCCGTTTTCAGAAAATTCAAAGTCAGCAAAGAACGAGGGATCGTACCATGACCACTCGTTAACCCAATTAGGTGCTGGGAACTCGCTATTTGGTAACCCAAAAGACGATACTGACCCTGACGGTGGCGGGCCGTAATTAGTGGATGAGGACTGCCCATCAGCTGACCCTCCAGGTGACGATGATGCTGGTTCCTCCGACGATGACGGGCCATCATTACTGGAAGAGGATTGACCATCAGATGTCCCTCCAGACGACTCTCCAGATGAAGCAGACGATGATTCCTCCGACGATGACGGGCTATAACTACTGGAAGAGGACTGACCATCAGATGTCACTCCAGACGACTCTCCAGATGACGCTGACGATGATTCCTCCGACGATGAGGGGTCATAATTACTGGAAGAAGATTGACCATCTGATGATGACGCTGAGTCACTTTGCGATGAAGACGACGATCTACCATTCGAGTTCTGATCACTAGATTGCCCATAAGATGATGCGGAACTCGAGGCGTACCAGTTTCTATATGCCGATGAAAACCACCATGAGTAATCATAGTCGGCACCCTCAACTCCGCCATCGAGATTGACAAGGTCTTCGAACCTACTGCCTTCTATCTGCGACCTTCTCATCATGTTTGCATTGCACACGGTCACCGCCGGGAATGCCAGGTTGGGCCGTCCAACGATGTCGATCTTCGTCGAGTACGGCCATCGAAGGAAATCCTTGAGGATGACGTTTCCCTGAATGAGGAAGACAACTAAGAACGTGGTACAGATGCCCAGCCAGCATAGGCGATAGATGATGTTCTTTTTATTGACGACGAACTGGAGGCCGTGGATGGTCGTCTCGTTACCAAAGTCGGTCACGGATTTTTTCACAGTATCCTTTTCTTCGGTATCCATTATGTTCGTATTATTTTTCAACTGTTCTTGCCATTGGTCATGTAGCAACTGCCAGCACAGCAGAGGGAGGGAGGGAGGGGAAGGAAGAGAAAGAGAGAGAAAACGAATAAGAATGGCGGTAAATCCTCCACTGGTAGTTTCAGGACAATTTCGATATTGCCCTGTGTGTCAAAGATTTTAGAATGAGTTGTACAACACCAGTTACTAGTTAGAATACTTGCATAAAAATGACATTTCATGTAGAGAACAAGCATTCGACAACATCTACCCTAAAGGTCACAGATGATTGACTTCAGCACATACTATTCTAAATACACAGGTACTTTATTTGTCGACCTGCGGAAAGCATTCGACACTGTCGACCATCAAATTCTTATGAAGAAAATGCATAACATCGGTATCAAAATTATGTCTAGTGACTGGTTCCATATCTATTTAAGTGGAAGAACGTGTAAAACCCTTGCAAATCATGCTCTTTCATCTTCATATAGTGCGGGCAGGGTCCCGCAAGGGTTGCTTTTAGGGCCCCTCTTATTTATTATGTACGTTAACGATCTTGCCAAATATAATTATTAAATCAAGCGGTCTAAAATTATATGCAGACGACAAAGTGATACATGTATAATATTCCGTTACCTCAGTACGCAAAATTGAGTCAACTCTGAACAGTGAGCTACTTCTTTTACACCAGTGGATGAAGGAAAATAAACTAGGTGTTACTTATGAAAAACAGTTTGTATGTTAATGGGTAGTCGTCACATGCTGTCAAAAGAAATGAACTTAATATTACCCTCTGTAAGACCAAAATTCAACAAGTGGAATATGTCAAGTACTTAGGTGTCATTTGTGATGAGCAAATTAAATGGAACATTCACACTGATAAGATGGTGAACAATAGGACACATGGTAAGCTTTCTGGTAGATTAAGAAACACCTTGAATGAATCTATACTATAACTAGTATATAATGCAGTTATTCTTCCCCACTTCAACTACGGAGATGTTGTACATTTATATGGTTTGACCTGTAAATATGTAAATGAAAGATTACAAAAGCTCCAAAATCGTGCTAGGCGTTTGATTCTACATATCAATCGTGACTCTTGTATACTCAATTCAGAAAATTCACAATGCCCTTAACTGGGAATCGTTACACGACAGTAGAAATCAACATTTGCTAATTTATATGTTTAAATCGCTTAAAGAAATGATCCCTGTTTATAGAGTATAGAGGAGCTATGGTTTATACTAATCTCCTTGTTATTGTAAGAACTGTCTCAACTTGTAGTGGTTTTAAGCGTAAATTAACCAGGGAGAGTGTTTGTCCCACTCACATCACCAATCCAATCACCCAGACTACCTATTCCAGATTCGGGATATTGTATTCTCTGTATCGGGGGGGGGGGGGGTTCGCAGTCCTTTTATATAACAACCATTTTGTAGATTCTAAGCATTTGTAGGTGTGTGTTGTTCCTTCTTTATATCCATTAATTTAGTAACGAATTATACGTCATGTTTAATATTTACTGGACCCCGTGGAATACCAGGGGGTGTTTCACAAAGATTCTCAGTCGAACTTAACTCTAAGTTGGACTTAAATATTATGGAGAGCCATTTGTAGCCTTATAATGAAAAATATTCAAAAGCAAAAATTTAGATATTTTAGACTTTTCATCAATTCCACATCAAGAACATGAAATCTCCCATGATAATAGAAAATATGAATGATTTGAATCAACATTTTATGCCTTTTAAAATAACTTCTACAAAATGTTTTCAAGGGTGCTAATGGCTTTCCATAATTATTGTCAAGTCAAGCTTAGAGATAAGTTCAACTTAGGATCTTTGTGAAACACCCCCCTGTAAGCCTATGTCGTGCCTGGTACAGCTCAATATGTGCTTTCCAGCCGTTTCATTCATACTTATGTATATACTTGTACTGTATGTTTGTTTTTAATCAAACGGAAAATAAATACTACTACTTCTACTACTACTACTACTACTACTACTACCCCTACAACTACTACTTGCCTGTTGGTGATCGTTTCTTCAACTTCGTCATTCAGCTTAGTTCGATCTGCTGCAGCTCACATGATACGTCAACAGTGACAAATTCAAATCTAGTTTCCCATTGCTTTTGCACGGGTTATGTAAAGTTTTACCTCCACAATATAATTGTAATCAGAACATAATGGTGGTCCATCGCATGAAATGACGTGATTTTATGAAGAAGGTTAATAATAACGTATATACTCAAGAAAATATTGAAGAATAGTTTATACTATATAGTTTATTATTGTCGAAGAATAAAGCATATTTCGTACTCTGTTTTGCATTTCATTACTTTGATATGCAATGTCACACGTAACGAGTATAGGTGGACTTATTTTGTTTTATCTTGCGACGTTCATGTCCACTCCTAAACGAGTCCCATTATATATATGGCTAGTATTTACATTGGTAACTGGTAGTTACAACGATTTCTCTCCGATTGAAAACAAAGTTGAGAAAAAAAACCCCACAAAACTTCATGGATATGCGAAAATTTACGATCATGAATGGATATTATTTGCTGGATTTTATATACTCACCAAACAAGGCCAGACCAAAGTATTACTTTTCAGCTGTCTCCACAAAATATTCTCTCATGTTCTGTTGAAGTTTTGTAGAATGCCATTTTAATACACTTGAAATATCGCCACACGGAAAAGTCTTGAAAAGAGGAGATAAGCGTTTTACACAGTTTGTGAGCTATTCCTTTCTGCATGGATTTATTTGTAAGCCTGTGTTCCGGACAGTTCTAATCCTACATTCTTGCATCACCTACAGAATGGTATCATGTTCCGATTGGATGCACATTCTGCATATTATTTGTGAGACGATTATTTACAAAGTCTGAGCTTTTTAAAGTTTTGTTGTATCCTAGATGTCCCATACACACCAACTTTAATTTCAACTGTATGGCCCGAATTCACAAAGGATGTTTATCGACAAGCCTACACAGTAAAAACGTTGCTTAAAAAAAGTGATGTTTACTTACAGTTGTACACTATTTTAAACAACAGTTGAGCAAATTGTAAACAATGTTGCTAGAAACGAAAGTAATTTTGTTAAACATTAACTGTTTAAAATTTAACATCTGCTATATTTACTATACGAGAGCTTTTAGACAGTGTTGTTTACATATGACGTCATGTGTCACGTCGCGGCCATTAAAGTGCGCGTTGGCTAAAAGCTTTATTTTACATCATGGCCGAACAAGCTACCGATGCACTTCTAAGTGACTGGGGATTCAATGGCTTAATTGAAATCACTTTTCTATTAACCAATTTGAAATGTTTAACTTATAGCGTAAGTTCACAGTTAAAATTTTCAGTATCCGTACGCAATTGTCAGAATATAGGTAGACTTGAAATCCTCGTGTCATGCAGTGCGGCACTGATCGCGCACTCGGTTATAACGTGTGCTAACTTCCTTGCCATAGAGATTGCATGCATCCCTATAATGCAGTTTATACGTGCGTGCATGCAAAATGGGCACTGTTTTGGCGCTAATTCATAAATTGCAGAATTACCCTACCCTATTGTTACTCTTCATATACCTATATAGAGACCCAGAAGTAGTGGTGCACTTATTCAGAGTATCAAACCCAAATTATACCCCATTATACAACCCTTTTGTGGTAAACAACCCCCGCTGAACAGCAGCTCCTTTTTAAACAACTTTCTTTAAACAACCTAGTTGGTGTAAACAACCCCCACTGAACAACAGCTCCTTTTTAAACAACTTTCTTTTAACAACCCAGTTGGTGTAAACAACCCCCACAAAAACAGCTCCTTTTAAACAACCGTCTTTAAACAACACCGGCTGTTTAAATTGTGATTTTAAACAAGTTGTTCAAAATGTTGATCAACTAAGTGTTTAAACTTTAAACAACTCGAGAAGCTTAACATTTTAAACAACTCTCAGATCAGGTCACCCGTTAATCCGAGGTTGTTAAAACAAATTTTAACTGTGTATCTTTTCGTGCGTCATAATTATGACGCGTTTTGACGCGTTTTTACAAACCATATTCGTTTATATCATACCCATCCAGCTCATGATTTTTTTTCTTACCGCAAAACATTCACCCTCACTCGTGTTTATTCTGAATTTTGTAATTCCTAATGCTTCACCTTTTGCATGCATTCGGTGTATCTATTTTTCCTGAATCTTCCATTCTCAGTCTCTCGATTATAACATTGATTCATCAAATTAAATATATATTTTGATAAAAACAGAAGTGAACGAGTGAAAAGGAGCGATGGAGGGAAAGGGAGAGATTGGGGTATATGGGGCGAGAAGGAGAGAGAGAGAGAGAGGGAGAGAGAGAAAGAGATAGAGAGAGAGAGATAGAGAGGGAAGAGAGGAGATTATAGGTACAGAGATGGAGGGTGTGGGATAGGAAGAGGGAGAGAGAAAGAGAGTGAGAGAGAGAGAGAGAGAGAGAGAAAAGAGGAGATTATAGGTACAGTGATGGAGGGTGTGGGATAGGAAGAGGGAGAGAGAGAGAGAGAAAAGGGGAGAGACAGAGAGAGAAAGAGAGAGGAGAGGGAAGCGGGGACACAGAGAGGGAGGGGTGTGTGAGAGGGAGAGAGAGAGAGAGTGTGTGTGTGCGTGTGTGCGTGTGTGTGTGTGTGTGTGTGTGGGAGAGAGAGAGAGCAAATTATGTAGTTAGACTAAAACAATAATGTATCCTCATGACATATTAGCAAGAAAAAATAAAAATCCTCAATGCGTTGAATGATTGGCGATTCATGTTAGATTTGTGTTAATACAAAGAACCACACAATGTGAGTGATGGCAAAAATAAATCATAGTAGACTGTTAAGATTGGCATACATCACACTTATTTATTCATTCTGTCAAACACATACAGAATAATCGGGATAAAATATAAATAAATATTTGTTTCATGGTCGGAAAAGTTCAATCGCATACAAATTGCCCAGGAGAACAACCTCCACTCTCCAGAACGGAAGAAAGTGATCCGACATTCACTGAATCCCCTCAATCATAACAAAAGAATATTGGTCAACAAATCCTCAGTATTTGAAGAGAAATGATGTCTTTAAAAAAAATGATTTCAATCTTTTTACCCACTGCACATGATGATTGAGAAAACCTTACGATATTGTTTTGCTATGCGAACCAATTCAATATTCGGAAGACAAGAACGAAAACTCGGAAGAACCGGTTCTTCGAAATTTAATAGACTATCCAATTTCGGAAATGATCTCCACTAAAATGAGACTTGACTTTGGAGATGCTTATCCATGTAGACTTCATTAGCTGCACTACATGTTTTTCGAGGAGTTCAGTATCACCGATCTTCAACATTTTGAAAGGATGTAAAAGAGACTTTTAAAAGAAACTGATCCTCCATTGACTCCCAACTATCGCGGAAGAAGTGTCTGATCAGTCTGATTTTTTTTCATAAAGAAGGGGTTGCAGAAAGTTGGCTTTTACCGGCTACACGGCACAGCGGGGTGGAAGGGAGATCTTCAAAATTTGAAATGGACGACAATGACGCCGATTTCCAAATCTCTTACCGACTGCATCCCAATGTTAATTGTCAATATTATAAGCAAAGGAAGAGGCTTTAGTCGGATCTGTCCGATCGCAGAAAAAGAGTCCGGTTAATCTGATCTTCGGCGAAGTGAAGAGACGTTGGTCCATCAGGTTTTGATTGGCAGAACACGTTCGCCGTTGAAGAAGAGCTTAGCGAAACCGATCCTACATATTCGGAGGAGGAGGGAGAGGACTTCGAAGACGCTGATGAAAGACATTCCGATGTACAATCCCATGAGACCGCCGACACTACCAAGAACACTGGGGATCTGAGGAGGTAAAGACAGACAGAAACAGAAGCTTGAGTTTATAGAGTGAACGTGAAATATCAATTATAAGCTTTTTCTTTGAATGTTCCCAGTCATCCAGGTAGAATATTAAATAGAACAAAACATTAAGTGTCACGTGATACCTCTACAAGCCAATATGACGCTCGCTGACAAGTACCCTATTATATAACATTACAAATGTAATGTAATAACAAGTCTACTCGACTTCCTTTGTTTAGCTTGCCACGTTTCATGTTTCATCCAAGACGCTTCATCAGACCGACTGGTCTTTGGCGGCAATCTTTTTTTTTTTTTTTGAGGGGGGGGGGGGGCTCGTTTAGTAGTGGACATGAACGTCGCAAGATAAAACAAAGTAAGCCCAGTTGATATCTTTATAACACTTCATGTTATTAGCTTTCCAATCCTCTTCATTGAAATTTAAAGGAATGGAATCGTAGCATAGTTATATTACGAGGATTGCTCTTGAGATGTCCTCATATTTCAAATAAGACTGTAATCCAATGGCGACTCGAAAGATTATTTTTTAAATTGGACTCATTTTTAAGTCACGTGTGTGTGTGTGTGTGTTGTCCCACATACCAATTTCAGTGTGCAGTTAAAGATGGGGTTTACAGATAACAAGTAAATTATAGATACCCCTTGTAAATCTGATGCCGCTTGCGTTTTTCGTTACTCAAGAATGAAAGATGGACTGGTCGAACTAGGTCCTTTGTTGAATAGACACATAAGTCGGGACAAATCAATTTTTCACATACTCAGAAAATTGCAAAGCCTGGTAAGGGTATGAATAGTTTAGTTTGTCTACCCCTTCTCTCCTCCTTCATCCCATTCCACTGACTTCTTCTCACTATATATGCATTTTCATCCTATTTATAAAAACAATCTTTTTTATGGTACATTTTATAAGTACATTTCATAAGTGAAAACTTTTCTTTTTGTGTTTTTCTTGCTTCTCTTTCTCTGCACCCACACAGATTAAACTGATTGACGCCCTCTATGTCCAATTAACAAAAGTCTGGTTGATGAGGTCTTATATACTCACGGTGTAAACTGGAACCATTTCCACGAATTCGTAGTTTAGGTCCTCGTAAAAGATCTTTACACGAATGAGATTCTTGCTGTATTTGAAAATGAAATAGATATGCGATTTTAATTTTGTATGTTATTAATATTGGGTCGAATCAGGTATTAATCCTCACTACCAGGTCTCTCAGAGAGAACCTAAAGCCGTCGGCCGTCTGGTTGCTTACTTACAAGCATTTATGCTTTCTTAGCAGTCAGGTAAAAGAACCAACACAACCAACCATCAAATCACTGTTACTGATAAATGATAACATATTTTCACGAGATATACAATAAGTATTAAAATTGCCTTTCAGTGGATTTCTCGAAATTATATGCGATCGTGATCAACTGATTATGGGACTATTAGTATTCCAACTGAATGTGGGAGGATCCAAGATGAAATGAAAAAAAATATTCTGATAAAACGATATATGATCATTTTATTGTATTTTTTTGGAAATCCTATATGGTTTTAATTAATTAATTTATTTATTAAAAACAAAAATGCATTTTACAATTCTTTATTAATCGTCAATTTATTATGAATCTAACATAGGTCAAAGCAAGAAAGAACTATGTACACATATGTAATTGTACGCATTGTAACAATGTAGGTTTACGAGGGATTGAACCGGAAGGGTCCACTAACCTGCTCAGTTCGCTGCTTGCTAATATTCGTACGGCATTACTATGCGAAGATGCGTTCAAACGGCGAAGAAGATGCTCCTAACAAAAGAAGAAAATGATTAGAAAAATTAATGTACTTGTATTAATGAATGAACAAATTAAAAACTGAATAAATGCAATGTAGACAAAAACTAATTTGATAAATGACTTCTTCTACAACAAGGCGAAGCTGACAATGTTTAAACAAATATATCTTTGCCAGACCTTTACTGTAGGAAGGAAGTTTCAGACAGCTTAATCTTAAAGTAAGACCCTTCACATCGTAATGTAAGCATCTTACCTCATACCGTTCTGAGGGCCACAGCAAGGAGGATGCCGTCTTAACATATTTGGTTTCCCTGGAAGAGAGGAAGAGGAAGAGAGGAAGAGAGAGGGAGAGAGGGAGGGAGAGAGAGAGAGAGAGGGGAAAAATAAAATATACAGATCTATTAGGCCTAAAATAAAAACTTTTTGCATTGCCCTTTGGGTGCCAAAACATGGGTCGGTCGGTCGGAAAGTTTTTTGTTTTTTTAAACTTTTTTTTTGTCGCTGGGCCGATATTTTTCAGATTTGAATTTTTTCCCGCCCTCTTTTGACTGACATTTCTCAGTTTTTAATGCATTAATACATGTGTTTCAACGTCATCATTCCATTGATATCTTTTTCACCTCATAATTATCCATGGTTTGCACGAGTGAGAATTTTGGAATAATTTGAATTTATGCAATTATATCCCATTTAAACAAACAAAATACATATTTTTTTATTCATTAAATAAAAAAAAATCTAAAAACGTTAAAAAAAAAAAATTAAGATGCCGACCGTAGATTTTCAGATTTTTGGGTCGGTCGCAAAGGGCAATGCAACAAGTTTTTATTTTAGGCCTTAACATGAACGATTAGTGATCGAGGTGTCGAAGTTGTTACTGCTTTTATTGGTTGTTGATGGCTGTGATGTGATCGGGGATGTGATGGCGCTCTTTCAACATTCGGGACAGAGCCATATATACACAGAGATTGTCCAACTTGGTTTCACTTGGTCACAACATGGCGTATATTCTTTTGTTTTGTGCTTGCCCAACAAAGCAGCAGTCGCCCTATTGTGACCAATTCGAACCGGGCTGGCAAAAGTCTCCTAATCAATGGCACTGATTTAGGATGATGTTATAGACATCACAACTTGATTTGTATGAATGATTACAATTGCCAATCGATGATTTTAAAAACCAAACTTCTTAAAGCGTTTTTAGAGCTTTGGAAGGGGGTTTCGGGGGACTTCAAGGTTCTTGAAAGCATTTGCTACGAGTGCCCCGCGATAATTCTTTTTGTTTTCCGGGGGGGGGGGACCCTAAATTCCCTGTAGAACCGTTACTGCTAATATTGCATTAAATATATACTCATTCGGGGGGGGGGGGTCTTACATGATGCCCAAGCCCAGGTCTCGGTGGACAAACGGTATGTGTAGCTAAAATAGTTCGGATCTTGTTAATAGACCAAGGGCGTTAGACCGTACAACCTGCAGTAGGCCATACAAAGGGGATGTGTCTGATCGATGGCATTGTTGATGGTGATCTCATCGATTTGCTAATGGTTTGGAGTTTTGGACAAACTCAAGCGCGCTTCCACAAAGAATTTAAATAATAAAAAATATCGATAAGGGTTTCTTCGTGTGACCACCAATCAATATCTCGGTATACAACCTGGCTTTAGAAAGGACTACGATTGACTACAAACACGACACGTGAAGTGGCAAAAATCAGTTTTAGAATGTAGGTAAATATTTCTTCCAATATCGCATATTACGGTGGAGTTCACTTCACAATTCGCAAGTCGGAGTGTTTGATGAGAAGTTCCGCATTTAAATCATGGCCATGTTTAGCACTCCTTTAGCGTTAATGGGTTCTTATATTCACATAACTCAGTAAATTACATATAAATACAATTTGTAAATGTAGACGATGCTCTTGATATCACGAGAAGTGTTAAAGAATTTTTCTTTTTTTTCTTTCCTATGCCATTTCTTCCATGACATACAGACCTAATTTAAAAAAATTGTAGTTTTTATAAACTGTTTCTTTATCATGTGCAAATGTAAGATGTAAAGTGTTAAATATTGCAAATTCATTGACAAATGGCATTGATTTACGAGGTTTACATTATACTTACGCGCAAGGGGACGGACACACACAAGCCAATTCATCGTCGAGGTACCTGTCTTCAACGTACTGTCGGCACCACTCTGTATATTGACGATGGAGACCAAAAAGATTGGATGAATGAATAAGCAATATATAAATGAACTAACAAACAATTAAACAAACAAATAAATGAAAAATAAATAAACAAACAAACAAATAAATGAATATAAACTGAATTTGGTTTAAGAAATATCACGAGGTGTCAAGATTGGCACTTTTCGAATAATACTTATACTTTGCATGGTTTTGACTTTCATTCCGTCTTCATTATTGTGTGATTTGGAACAAATGGAGAGTTGTCTGACCCCATTTGACATGCAGCCATTTTTATCGATTCGTCAATGCAAATTTCACAGGTGAATATTATGATGTCGTCAAATATTAAAACTAATGACCTTTTTACTGATGATCAGGTTTCCTTCAAACTTTGAACAATCTGTTTACGCCATTGTTTTGCTTTTCTTCAAAGGAACTTGCTACAAAGTTTGGAATGCCAAATGATGGCCGTTGCACACGAGAAGTCACGGCCCCTGACGCAGCCTGACTTAGGAATGCGTCAGAGACTGGTGCGGTCAACGTGAGGGTGTTGTACAGACATGGATTGCAAAGCTGAATTACTGGTGTAAGGACAACTTCCTTCACACTCTAATTGATTAGCGCATGGTAATAGCGCAATCGAAATAACGAATCGTGTCCGAGGGGCATCGAGATAACAGACGTACAGGGAACTGCTACTTACGTTGCGTCGCGTTGAGCACGTCACATTTTGTCGGGTAATCGTCAAAGAATTGGTTGTCGACGCATCCACAGAATTGACTCAGATGGAGCTGATAACAAATCTTCTTACACGCCGCCTTCGAGTAAATGTATTCTGACGAAGTAAAGTTGGTATCGTCACCGTCAATAGTGCAATTCGTGTAGAAGCCTCCCAGGCGCTTGATATATTCCTTAGAGAGATAGAAGTGTTATACAGGAACAAAATTATCTTCTTCTGTCTCTCGTAAGTGTGAATTATAAAAAAAGGCAATAATATATAAGTGTTTTTCATAGCAAACCACTAAGAAACGAAATGAAAATAAGATAATCTTCCTTTTGGGGTTCTATACAGACTGCTGAGAAAGAGGAAGAGAGAGAGAAAGAGAGAGAGAGAGAGGGGTGGGAGAGAGAGAGAGAGAGAGAGAGAGAGGGAGAGAGGGAGAGAGGGAGAGAGAGAGAGAGAGAGAGGAGGGAGAGAGAGAGAGAGAGAGAGAGAGAGAGAGAGAGAGAGAGAGAGACCGATGGATGAAAGATAAAAAGGAGAGGGGCGTGTTGAAAAGTATCAATGGTTTTCCCTGGATATGTTTTTTTCTGTTTAAGCGACCTAAAAAAAAATATAAGACAATGTGGGAAGATAAAAAGCAAAGCTCGTGCATTATTGTACTCAGAAGTTTGTAATTTTCTTGGTACTTGATGCGATAAGACATAATATTCTGGGCGAAATGCCTAGTCCGCGGAGTATGTATTTCGGGGGGAGGGGGGTTCCTTTCTTCTAGATAATTTTTTCTACTTTTCCTGCTACAATTTGGTGTGAAATCAAAGAAGAAAAAAAAACGAAATGTCGTAATACCTGACGAATCCCGATCGACGTTCTTGTCCAGTTGACAACTCCAATGCGTCATCCTCCGGAAACGGAAATACGTCAGGGTGGTGAATGCTGACCTTTGCCCCCGTGTGGGGAGAAAGGATTCCTAAATACTCGGGTTGCTCCACGAAAAGCGTCAACTGTAAACCTAGAGGAAGCGGTGAGATAGAAATATAAATCATGTTACCGTCAACGAATGATAAGAGAAAGAAAGAAAGATTAGTAAATCAATCTATGTATACGAATAACTAATTAACTTACTAAATAAATGAATGAATGAATACATGAATGATTGAATGAAACAATGATTATGAGAACTAAATTAAAAAGAAAGAAAGAGTGAGAGAAGTTGCCCACATTTTTATTTAAGATACGTCGAAAAACAAATATAAATGCTACAAATAAAATGAGATTTCCTGGCCACCACGAAGTCTTTGGTTTTACAAAAAAGAGAAAAAGTTCACACTGCTTGAGGATTATGTTTTTGAAAAATTGGTTCTTGCTGTTATTAGGTTATCGTAAGATGCCCATTTGCACCATTTTGTCAATTTTTACATTCTGATTCTTTTATTACTCACATCCTATTTTTTTTACTCCCTCCCTCTGTAGTTTTTTTTTTATACCAGTTTCGACTTATTTTCCTTCTCATAGAATTAAATCATCCATAAAGAATCCGATTAAAAGGTTATCGGGTTCTTACCACTGAGTCCACCGGTTTTACCCGTGGTCCTGGTCTGGTTAGCCGGGGACAGAGCAGAGTTGAAGGTGAAACAATTACCGTAGTACCGATTCTGCCACACGTAGAAATCCTCACTAAAATAGAAGAAAGAAAAACGAAAACAACAACATAAAAACAAAGATAAAGATCAATGTATGATGTCTATATCTTTAATAATTATTATGAAAAGTGAAGATTAGATACACAGATATAATTACATCCCTCGTGGTCCCTCACAGCGGGGGTGTCTCAGCACAAGTTGCATTATGAATGAAAGAGCCGCGGGGGTTGGGGGGGGGGGGGGGGGGAGGTTCGACACCGACTAATGTTGTAAAAAGTGTTTCCGATAGAATACGTGCATACAAACAGATTTCCAATTGACCAGGAGCGTATCCGGACACCTACCCCCTGGACATCCAACCCCGGCTAACCACCCCCAGTCAACTACCCCCTATGACAACTACCGCATATAGGGCAACCACCCTCTAGGATGACTACCCCCAGGACAACTACCCCCGGACAACTACCCCCAGACAACTACCCCTTAGGACAACTACCCCCTAGAACAACTACCCTCTGGACAACTACCGCTTAGGTCAACCACCCTCTAGTACGACTACCCCCGACAACTACCCCACAACTTTTCCCTAGGATAGTTGTCCTAGAGGATAGTTTTCGTGGTGCCACCCATTCCCCTCATGCAAGTAACGAAACTCCTTGCAGTGGCGTATCTAACATTAAGTAAATCCGGGTATATCACTCCCTTTATCACAGCACACAAGGTTGCTAGGGATTCTATCCCGCCTATGTTTAGCCAAAAAAAAAAGGGGGGGGGGGGTCTGAGAAGTCGTGTGTGTGGGAGGGAGGGGGTGGCATCATTGACACATCTTATCAGATTTTGCTTTCGAAAAACAGATCAAGTGTTATTGAAAGAGAGAGACTCTTTGTGCAGTAGTGAACTAAACTCATCGCATATTCTCGTTCAAACGAGATATAAATAAAGTCGTTTATGAACCAACCTAATATTACACTGACGTCGATCAAAGGTACACTGTAGTACAAAATCTTCCAGCTGGTGACCGTAATCAGTTAGTTCTGCCCTCGTCGGGTTAACCACGTCGACGAAGTCGCTGTAGTCGTCGGCCCTCGATGACATATAAAAACCAGTCCAGTCGTCACCGCTGGTCACCGTGTCCCAGTTGTCAGCGTAGTATTGGAAGTCGGAAACGTCGGAGGGGTCGTACCACGAAAACATGTCATAGTCGATCGAAGCGGGCGGGCTACGCTTTTTCCGTTGAACACTACTCGAAGATTGTTCGAAACCGTTGACGAAGTCGGAGGAAAACCACCAGGAGTAGTCGTAGTCGGCACCGCTGACTCCGCCGTCGAGAGCAATCAGGCCTTCGAATCGAGTATCAACAAGCTGCGATCGCCTCATCATGTTCGCATTGCACACGGTCACCGCCGGAAAAGTTAGGCTGGGTCTTCCGACGATGTCGATCTTTGTCGAGTACGGCCACTGCAGGAAGTCGGTGATGATGTCGCTTCCCTGGATAATGAATACGACTAGGAATCCGATGCAGATAACAACCCAGCACAGCCGGTAGATAATATTGTCTTTGTTGACGATGTACTGAACACCGTGAATCGTAGTTTCGTTCCCGAAGTCAGTCAGGGATTTCCCCAAAGTGTCTTTCTCTTTGCCTCTCATCTCGTCGTGCACTTGTCACTAAACCTGCAAAACAGAGGAGAACATGTAACTAGAATACAGTCAATCCAGCTTAACAACAATGCGAAGAATGTTCAACGGTAATATCTGCGCATATGTCTGTGAATACGTTTTACTTTAAAACTCACCTATAATAACTAGGAATTTTCAACGCAAAAAAGAAAAGAATCTCAGAGATACATATTTTGGGCCTACTATACATGCATGGCATTAACCTTGCTGTATACGATATATGAACCAATATTTTTGTTAAAGGATACAGAAAGGAAGTAATAATGTTTTTCCTCTGCGAGATCTTTAGATGTAGAAAACGAATTATGTTACAAATATGTATAGTGTTTACTCTACATCATGTTATTCAAAAGAAGATTTGTTTTAAATCGTAAACGTAACGTCTAAGCTCTGCTAGCAAAGGCTAATGACAATGCACTATTGAATGTTTTTATTTTTGCAACAGAAATATGGCGCCACATAAATGGTGTGAACCGCCATGGATCATGAAAGATATTCTATTATCGGCTTCTGATATATATATTTGCGATCTACTCTCGACGACCCTACCCAAAGAAATAATTCACACTGGTATTGCCATTTCCATTATCACGTAGACAGTTTTCTTTCTTTTTTTCCTCTACAGGAACAATAATCAATAACCAATGATTCTGGACTGGTGGCCACATTTCATGGCGAAACAATAGAAAAGGAGACAACAGCGACCTTTTCTGTCTTTACTCGTTTGCCAAACGGCACAGAAAACATATAATGCTAAACCCCATTTACAAATACGGTGCAAGATGAAGTTGCGAACAACACACTCAGTAAACATTGGGATGTTTATCCCGTAGACTGGTAAACTGTTTTCACACATACAAAGAGTTGTTGTCAATAGTTTTGGGAAAATGAGTGAAACAGATCTGTGCAAATTTGAGGAAAATGCAATTTCAAACTAAAATGACTGATGTTAATAACTACACATATTCAACCGTTAGGAGGAAGAAAAGGAAAAGGGAAAAATCAAACAAACGAATTGCTAGTAATCTTTTCTCAAAGCATGCCAAACATGAAGTTTCTAATTATGTCCACTTGTCGCCTTTAGAAGAAGGATTAAGGTAGCCTACCAAATGTCGTAAAAGTTATAGCTCCAAATGTGTTTCATCATTTCAAAATCATTTGTAACTGTTGATCACCCTATAAGCTAATCATACCTTAAAATCCCTTGAAAATATGTGCATATACATGATAGGGCTTTCATACACCTGTAACAATCTGCATGCTTAGTGATTCGTGATTTAATGGAACATGCATAATTATAATGGACATGATGGATGAGATTCATATTAATAAATAAATGAACATAAACGTGAATATGAATAACTTACCCACATTAAAAAGATGTATGAAATCCACATTAAAATGTCCTGTTCCCCATTTGAACTCCATTGCGACCATTCCCGAAATGTGGTCCTTATCGAACGCCGTGACTAAAGAGGTTTGTCCGACTTCGACCAGGTTTCGGACTTAAGAATGCATATATTACACTTTTACGTCACCTGTGTTTACGTAACTGCTCCGATCTACATTGTCTGCCTATGGTGCTACTGATAATAAGGGGGAGAGTGACCCTTTGAATGGTTTCCTATTCTTCAATCCTCCGTGACGGTCTATTCTTTTATGTCTGGTGTTTTGTGAGCCGCATCCTTGAGGATGTTCCGAGCTAAAAATCGATTTTCGTCTCCAATTTGTTGTAGCGATCATGTCAACATACCGTTTCATTAACATATTCAAATGTTATGCATACTTTTTAAACAAACATTGATCTTGGCTTTCCCAAGGCTTGCCCGTCATAGCAACCCTTACCCTAAATCTAACTTGAAACCCAACTGCAACCCTAACTCAACATCTGCGACGAAATACGACCCTATGATATGGTATCTTGCCTGAAAACGTTTTATTTTGATTTCTGTCTCTCCCTTTCTCCCCTCTTCCCCCTCTCTTTCTCCCCCTCCCCCTCTCTGTTCCTCTCTCTCTCTCTCTCTCTCTCTCTCTTCCTCTCCCTCCTTCTCTCTTTCTCTCTCTCTCTCTATTCTATAATTATTCCTAAAATAATACAAAGAGATCAATAGAAGAAGCTAAAGTCTTATGGTTAAATTATTTGTTTAATACAATTTTAACATAATGTTTGTTTAGCGCCGTATCGGTATGTATATCGAATCAATCGTCTCTTTTGGCTCGTTTAACCCTCTTTAACAACTCGAATTCAATACGAAACACATCAAATATGTAAAGCACACCATGACAGCGGCATACAATTTCGTATCTTCACATTCTTTTGATTGGGTTAAATAGATTAAAGATGAAATCAATTTTCTTTTTTCTTATTTTGCGATTTTACGCGTATTAAAGTTAATACAAAGTTTTGGTATGGGTTCATGAATTTGGTTCAAATGAACATTTTGGAAGAATATGCGATTTTACAATATTCAGTTATTGTTGTCGCGGTTGAAATCGAGTCTGAAATGATGAAATTGTAAATAATACAGGTTTTATGTTGTATAACTCCTCTCAAGTTCAGGATATTAATTTAGCTTTAAAACAATGTTTCTTGACTATAATCGACCTATTTGCTATTCCCCGTTTGGGAATTATATATCACAACTGCATATTCTGAGATTTCATGGTCACAGCTACCATTGCATGGCCGTATACGGTAAGCTACTTGAAATTTATCAAAACTTACCGGGAGCACCGGTAAATGTGTATAGGCCCTATTCAATATTTCTCGAAAGCAGAAGTGTTTTTGGGGCTATTTTTTTAGTGCTTGTTATACATCCTCAGGGGCATCCAAATATCAACATTTTGAAGAATCGCTATCCGGCCATTTTCAAAATTCCCAAAACTTTGTATTACCTCCAAATAAAACACCATAACTTCGTTATGAGACATATCTCCTTTAACACAAACGTATACTTTTTAAAGTATAGCATGTATTCTACATATAAACTTATAAAGACGTCGTCTTAATTCGGACCGAACCTTATTTGTTCATACTTTAATCCTTCCTCTCCAAAGGGGTATTCTGCATTTATATTGCGCGTGTCTAAAGTATGAACTACATGTATTTGCAGATCGCGTCACGGCATACATAACACCTTCAGTTACTGTATTTGACGCACTAAGCAATACGTCATAGTATGAAATGGGCATTATTTAAAGTAAACGTGTATAACATTGTTTGGTAGCTAAACGATTGTGAAAGTAGATGGGATTGTTTGATTTAATGCTCAGACATGAAGTAAACAATCCTCTCCGAGTTGGTATACGTATACGTGTGCGTGTACGCCTGTATTTCGTCTACACAAGAAATTCGTGAATTAAAATACCTCACGACATGACACTTTTTGGTGAATGTGTATACTCAGAGGACGCCATTATGCCACAGCATTAGGCCAAATAACATAAATAACTATTTACCATTTGGCAATTGTTTTTCCAAGATGGCTGCCATGCTAATTATAGCTGGCTATGTGAGTATAATGATGCAATGTATGACAAAACAAATTATTTGTATCACTTTAGAAGCTATTTTATATATATCACAGGCTTTTTTGTGTGTGGCTTGTTTTCTTCTGAACAGTCAATAGTAAACAAAACAAAAAGGAGGCGGCGGCCAAAAAGGAGGCGGGCGTTATTTGGTCTTATACGTGTAGGTTAGCAAACGCTTCTTCTTCTTGTTTTTATTATCATTATTATATTAATTATTCTTATTATTTTATGCGTTTAATCAACTTAAAACAGCGAACCATGCACAGAAATTGAAATAAAAGTCACATACATAAAGTTATACTGAGGATTAATGCGGGCTAAATAAAGTTAAATTTAAATCATTTTACGAAAATTCAAATTTGAAGAAGAATTAGAAAATGATATCAATAATCTTGACAATATGCCAGTTAATAGGTTATTGCTGCGCATCTCATCTGATTATTCAAACATCAGTTCTAATATGAACAGGTGCAAATTAAATCATATCAATAATCTTGACAACATGTAACATAATCAGTTATAGCTATATTTGTTATACCAAGAAACTGTCACTGGACGTTTAGGCTTGCTTGTCTATTTCCTTGTATGTGGATAACATTTTTACGATATCATATATTTATATAAATGGCGCTATACAAATGCTGTTCATCATCATCATCATCATCATATATATTTATAGTAAATTCAGGGGCGGCAATCCACGGAGGCTGGAGAGGAGGGGGGGGGGGGGCTAGAAAAAAATGAGGGGTTTATTTTAAATGAATATATTTGAGACACGTAGCTAATCTAAAGTAATAATCTTCTGTGTTTATAATTGGGAGGGGGTAGCCGCCTACCCCATTTGGCTACCCCCATGCTGGTTAGCATGCTATCCACCATGTTTTTATGAGAGGCTGCACTCCATTGGAAAATAATAACTTTGTACAAAAGATCGTTAAAACGCATAGCTAATCTAAAAAAAAAGAATAATCTTCTGTGTTAATTGGGAGGGGGGGGGGGCTAGCCGCCTACCCTATTTGGCTACGCCAATGAATGGTCATCATGATATCTATCATGTTTTTACAGGCTGCACCCGATTTGGAAAGAAAAGTTTTGTACAAGAGATCTTTGAGACCCGTAGCAGTAAAAAGATGACCTCAAAGACACTGATGAACGACATGCCGGTGAAGAGTCCCATTAGTCCACCCCAGTTACCAAGAATATTGGGAATCTGGAAGAGATGACAAGAAACCGAGAGAGGGAGAACAGGTAGGAGACAGAAAGTTAAAGAGTGAGATGGAGGGCAAGCGGAGGGGGAGAGAGAGAGAGAGGGGGGAGAGAGAGAGAGAGTAAGGGAGAGATAGATAGAGAGAGAGAGAGAGAGAGAGAGAGAGAGAGAGAGAATTAATACTAAATCAGAATATCTTTTTCTATTTTATCTATTTATCTATCCATCTATCAATCATGATTTTTGTTTCTCCCTTTTTATGGATGAGGGGCTGGGGGTGAAGAAAAACGCCACATATCCTTTTGTTCAATATTACGTCATAATGTGCCTCCAATCATGTACAGAAGAGGGTGAGGCTATAGTTTGTATAAACTCTGGCAGAAGCAGAAGTTTTTTCTGCAGAGGGGGGGGGGGGGGGGGGGGGGAGGGGGGGGGGGGGGGGGGGGTGTTTGGAATTTGGTAGCAAACGCATTATTCGGAATACAAGGCCTACACTCGTAGTAAACACCGTTAAATGCCAACATTATTGGAGATTGAATCTGAATTCGTCCTATCTGAGGGATACTCACAGTATATCTTGGTACCTGTTCCACCACCTCGTTGTTAAGGGTTTCATAGTATATCTGAAGACGGATCAGATTACGCCTAAGAAAGCAAAACAAACAAAAGCCAACATTTAATGAAAATTACTTAGATTTCATGCTTAAAGGTAAAGACAAGTTTTGGAAACGCCCGGCACCCCCCCCCCCCCCCCCACTCTCAAATATTGAAATTGAAGCTCTTATAACCAATCATGTGAAAGAATATGTTTCGACTAATACGTGATGATACAAATTTTGCCGGAAAACCGCCTACTAATTGATATATTTGGTAAATTATCATATCGATCCGGCCTGGATAGATATCGCGAATGCACTTCAACATTGAACATTTGGGCATATATTTCTACTTTTTTGCGAATTCAGGTTGAAGTATTGCCATTTAATGCCCGGATTACATTTTGCCTGCGATTAGTCTAGGGAGCCCGTATCCTGTCCGTATTCGCTTTTCCGTGAGATTTGCGTACGGATTCACGGGTTCCGCGGCCTCTACGATTTTATTTCGCAGAAAGTTATACAAATTTGAAAAATCGTAAGCCCGTAGTCCGTATACATGTCGTAGGTGTCATTACACAATCCCAGCACGGGCACGGCGCAAGGAGGACTCGCGCTGATCGTGCAGCAAACGCACGATTTTTTTGGTGAACATGGAGGCAAAAAAACACGCTTAAAAACGGCTCGGCGGCTGCACAGTCGCCGCGCCTTCTCCGCGCACAACCTTTGCACGGAAGCTGCTCGGGCTCTGTACGATTTCTTTGCGAAGACTGCACGGCTAATGCATTGAAATTGCACGATTTGCGTACAATCTCCGAGCAGCCTCTAAAAGGATTTGCTCCGGCCTGCCCCCAAAGGCCACTACAAGAAATGGCACGATGCTCGTAGATAATGTAAACACAAACATCGTAGCCCGTAGCCTCCTACGATGCCCCCACAATCGCACGAAAAATCGTAGACTAATTTGTCGTACGGCGCTCGGGGCAAATATAATCCAGGCATTAACCTCCGAAGTCAATATTTAAACAATATTGAATGGATATTTAGCACCCAAAACCCTTTATAACTTTAATGAATACGGGCCCTGGTCAGAACAAACTCACGTCACATTTGTGCCACCGTGCCACAACACGACAGAACATTTGTGCAAATCATGGGTCATCGGGGGTTGTCGCAAGACAGTCCTACGATATTTTGAGCATCGTGGCATATTTAGAATAGAAAGGCATTTGAAGAGCCATGCTTTTCAGGATACATTTATATCTAATGTTCTTCCACACTTGCATAATAACAACCAAAAAACGCTCACAAATTATTGTTCACATCTTCCGAGAACTCAACCTTCTCTTTAATAACAGCAAATGTAACGTACCTTGCACTTTCCTCATGGTTTATCAACGTATACCGTATCAAAGGATGATTGGTAAACTTGGTTATGAGATGATTCTAAAATGGAATATATTGAAATCATATTAGCAGGGATTAGGAACACAGTTACATACCTCTTACTTGTAACATATAGGCCTAATTAGACTAGTGACAACACAATAGGGATACAGCTTATTAGCTTATTATGAGCTTTACCAAGACATGCACACATGAAACCCATTTCCTATTTTTGTTATAACTTTCTCTGTTGGCTGAAAATTGTCGTAGGGGAGGGGTAAGCGGACACTTTTTTTTTTTTTTTTGGTCTCGAAATTTGAAAATTTAACATTTTTCTTCGTTGGGGGGGGGGGGGTAAGGTCACCTTTTTTAGGTTAGCCGTGGGCATATTTTATTTTTTTATTTTTTTTATTTTTTTAAATAATTTAAAAAAATAAAAATAAAATAAAAAATCCAAAGGGGGGGGGGGGGGGGGGGGGGGGTTTTTAGGTTTTTCTAGGGGGGGGGGGGGTTAACACCCATAAAAATACCAAAGGGGGGGGTTTGAACCCCCAACCCCCCCCCCCCCCCCCCCCCCCCCTGCGTACGCCCCTGCCTCAGGTAGACAAAGGAACATCCCTTCCCTGCTATTATGTAAAAATGTGTAGAACAGGTGTCACATGCATATTCACCTGTTCTACACATTTTTACATAATAGCAGTGAAGGGATGTTCTTTTGTTGAGGGTAGAATGAGGATATTTTGTCCTCTTTCTTTGTCCGTGATGTTCATAGTGTTACTTCCTGCATGCATGTATATCGTCGAATGGAATCTAAAAGATTTCTAATTGTAGTCAACATGGGTAGTTAAGTACGTTGACACGCATGATCAGTCGGCGTTCGTCGTGTTCTTGTCCACTCAATCTAAAAGTCCCTAATGACGCAACGGAATGACGCCTCTTGGGGACTGGCTTAAATTACATTTTGACGCGGCGCCATTTTTATGGCGCTTTAGCCCGTCATGTTTAACCAAGGCTTTACATGTAAATATGACAATAATAACGCATTGTGATGTCCTCAGACTCACGATGAAAAAAATTAACACGAATCCTCCTACCATATATCTCGCTGATGGCCAGTCTATAGATGATATTGTTTTCTTGAAGTTCCTTTCCCTGGTCAGGGTAGAAATATTGGGGAAAAAAGAGGAACAACAAACAATAACGTTTTTTTTCTTCTTCTTTCTAATCAATAATTTTGATCAATTGATAGATAAGAGGTGTATAATTAATATATTGAGGACCTAATTTGTTAATTACACATTATAAACTTATATAATTCATTATAATATATTGTAATTATATCATCATCATTATAACACTATTATCATTATCATCATTATTATTATTGCTAATTTTATTATCATTTTCATTATTATTGGTAGAACTAGTAGTAGTAGTAGTAGTAGTAGTAGTAGTAGTGTCGTTATTATTATTATTATCATTATCATCATTATTATTAATGTTATTTTTATTATCATTATTTGTATTACTAGTATAACTACTTCTACTACTATTACTACTACTACTACTACTACTACTACTACTACATGTACAACTACTATAAGTAATCGTATTTCACGGCGACCTGATCCGAAAAAGGAGCTTTCAGTCGATAATCGGATTTTTTTTAAAGGTTACATAAAAAATTCAACCAAATCATTATTTAATCACAGTAAGAAGCTAGTTCAATCGTATAAGCAAGAAATAAATGCGACTTACTCGCATGGGAGTGGGCAATTACAGTACAGACACCATTGTTGATGTAGAGTTGATGTACCATAGAAACACATGCTCCTATCCAGAAGAAGAAAACAAAATAAAGATGACATATTTTGAGAATCAGATGTGGGGCGGATCCATTATTTTCACGTGGAGGTCAGAACATTCTGTGGCAAGCCTCAGTCACAATCAAAGTAAAAACAAAAAAACAAGTAAACAAACAATGAAAAAGATCATTGCATTTCATTTTGGGATGTCTTTTAGCAACCGTGCCCTCCCCCACCCCCGATGCAGTAATTTTGGTTGAGCATCTTGCCATATTAAGAATTTGAAGAGGTAGTTACACAATAAAGCTCATCAAGTATTTTTTTCGGGGGAAGGGTGTGGAATGTATACATAGGTTATAATGTGTGAGAACATGATCAATATGGACGATAATTTTGTTCTTATTCTGACAAAGTCTCATTGGGACACATAATTATTACTATTTAAATGTATTTTGATTGCAAGGCTCTTTTAGCCACGATCTATCCTTACCACAAAGGGTTTCTCCTCAAATCGCCAATAGAATTGAATTCTTACAATTATTCATCGAGACTGAACTTACGTTGGGTACTGTTGAGGACATCGCAGTGAGTGTAATCAAGTAAGATACCGTCCACACAGCCGCATATATTGATCAAACTCTGCTGGAAACACAACTTGAGGCAGTACGCCACGGTATAAATTGTGTTGGTGCGCGTGACGGTGAAGTTCGTGCCTGCACCGTCTTCTTCCACGCAATTTGTCATCCCTGAAATACGCTCTATCACCTCCTGGTAGTGATGCAAAACAAACAAATAAACAAGGAAATAAACAAAAGAATACACACAAGAAACAAACAAATGAATGTATGCGCAGTTAGTTCACTGATTTTAAATCTTGACTGTCTCCAACTTTTGGGTTCTTTTTTTCTCAGCTACAAGTTTCAACGGGGCAACATTGTGGTGTAACACAATAATCGCTTACTTCCTCTTCTATTCTATCATCTATCTTGGGCGAAGTTTACAAATCCCTGATCAACAAAAGTCCTGTTTTCCTGCATAACCTTAGTTACAATTAAAGACACATAATAGTCAGTGTCCATGCGTATTGCATCATAATTCGCTGGCACCAGATTTGGTTGAATTACCAATTAATGTGTCTGTGTGTGCACAAGTCTATCAAGCAGCGAAGCCATGGTCCACCAAAAACACGTCAATTTGCCTTCATATCTCAGGAGTGCGGCAAATTTTATATTATAATGAGAATTCATTAGGCTACGGTACAGTCCATTACACAAGACCTGTCTGTCGTAAAAGTGAAGTCCATTTTAGTGACTGACTGTTTAGGGGTAAACACCCAAGTGGTGTCAAATTCCCCTGAAGACCCCCTACTTTGAGCCTTTAATTGCAAATATCATAGATTCACCTCTCGTATGCCGATAGATGTCGCCATTCCAGTTCCCACATTGATCCCCTCATCCTCCGGAAACGGAAGTGTATTTTGAGGATGGATGGTGACCTTTGCTCCCCGACTCGGGGATAGAAGCCCCATATATTCATCCTCCTCTACCCAAAGGGTAAGATGTAAACCTATAGGTGAAGGTATTTCAAGAAGGGCGGAGGAAGAGCAGAGGAAGGGTTTAGAGGAGGAGGAAGAGAAGAAGAGGAGAGAGAGAGAGAGAGAGAGAGAGGGAGAAAGAGAGAGATAGAGAGAAAGAGAGAGAGAGAGAAGGGGAGAAATCATTCCATCATTATGGTGATCCATGATTGGGCTCATTTTCCTGTCTACTCTTCCAAATATACATTGCCGTGTGTATTATACTTAAGATATTGATAACAAGCCTGACAGTCGCAGTTACGTTGGAACAAGCAGGTAATGTTTCAATGACTAAACATATAAGTCACGCATTATGATTTCTCAGGTAATGACATTCATTAATCATCAAAGCCTTATGGGCGAAAAGATTGTAAAGGGCTTATAAACTTCTTGCTCTTTTTCACATCAAAACGTGTATACTATTCACTTCTGTTTCACATTATACAAAAATGCCTTTCAAAATTTTAAATTTGATTAATAGAGGATTGCGATATTCATAATGAGTAGTGTCTGACAAAGTACTTGGATTTATAAGTTCAAATATTTCTACTTCGTAATGAATAATTTATCATATAGAATTGTATTTACATGCATTCAAACTGTAACATCCCCACATGGAATCCCCCAAAACACAAAACATGTTTCAAAGCGATTAGAGTTTTTAAAATACTATATCATGATTAAAGGCAGGGTATTCTACGGGCACTACTTCAGATTTACGTATATCGCTAATTATGCTACCCACAATGTCCCTATGTATCGACAGCCATGTCCCACAATGCATCACCGACTGCATGACGCGCATGTGACAATGCTGGATTTGGTACAGGTACCGAAAATCGCTTTATGTATGCCTTCACCGAAAGATGACGCAATAGAAAATACATTACAGCATTGGTAATGATGTTGGTAAAATACCATGCCTTTAAAGCTGTTTATATCTGCTTAAAGATAAAGTTGAGTTATGGTCATGCAATTGCATTGTGAAAGAAACGGTGAGGAATCGATCAGAAAAAGTTGATTGTTTAGCATATAAGTATTGATATGTACTACAAGGCTTTGGAATCATCAAATTGATAAGAAACTTGGCCCAGTCTGGGTAAAAGTAACAAGCACTGTACACAGAAAGATGTATATGGTACTTCGCAAACATGTGGCCTAAAAATGTGGTCTTCATTTTTAAGCTTTTACATGTCAGATGTAGAATATGAAGGCATTTGAAGAGCCATGCTTTTCAGGGAACATTATTTTTTCCTCTGATATTCTTCCACACTTGCATAATGACAATAAAAAACTCTCACAAATTATTTGTCACCTCTCCCCAGAACTCAACATTTTATTTAAGGCCATTGATCCTTGAAAATGTATTCCAATTTTATGAACAGAATTGTTCGTGAATATTGTTAATTTTCAAAATAAAAGCAAAACAACACATTACAAAAATAATATCTACCTTTCAATAAATGAAATCTTACCATTTAAAGCCCCTGTCTTGCTGGTGGTAATAGCTTCTGCGGTTTCCATCATCCCAAAGTTAAAAGTAAAACAATTCCCATAATATCGACTCTGCCAAACCCTGAAGTCAGAACTGACAAAAGGAAATCGATGAATACGCTCATTTTGAAAAAGCTAGGAATATGAGTAGACGTTTAAAAATTAAAGGATAGGTAACGATTGAATTTTTGTTGTAAGTAAATATTCACAGACCAGTTCAGGTTGATACGATAAACCACTGAGATGGTACTAATTCAATTAAAGCATGATGAAATGAGCGGATGAATATTATAAATATAAAGTTGAAGTTATGGTCAAGATATTACCATTTTCCATTTCCCCCCTTTCATTTGTTTGAAATTCCTCTGAAAACTTAGCGAAGAGTTTTTTTCACAGGAGCTTAAAATTATTAGCGTCCGCTCTTTGTTAACTAAAATAAAGGAAGGCTGACTAAAAAGTTTTAAAGGCCTTACCCAAATCTATAAATTGGTTTTAAATTCCAACAAACAAAATTATTCAAGCAAATATTGTCACTTTTACTGCTTTTGATTTTCTAAATGATAAATTCACACATTGATACGCACCTCATATTACAAGGCTGCTGATCATAAGTGCACTGGATAAGAAACTTCTCAAGTTGATGTCCATAGCCCATGAGCTGTTCTTGCGATGGGTTGACGACGTTGATAAGATCGCTGAAGTCATCGGCTACGGATGCTGAGTAGAATCCCCACCAGTCGTACAGGCCGTTCACCTTGCGCCAAATGTCTTCACTTCTTTCTGCTTCTCCATCTTCCCTTTAAAGGCATCATTTAACAATGTTAAATCTGATATGGATGCCCCTATGTGTTACATTGAAGCCCTAAAAATGCGCTTTAAAATGATCATGAAGTGCCTCAAAATATTTTTAAAATCTTTGAGTGACCGGTTTTACCATACACATTTCCCCCAATGTTATAAAAACCGTCAGGAAATAGTTTTTGAAATTTCGATTTTCAATCATAAATATCTTGTAAATCAGACAGGCGATCGGCTTGTAAAAGACATTGGATTCCTGACTGACCTTAAGGTTTTTAATCATGATTGCAACATGAGCTAAATCCAGAATTTTGTTTAAAAGCTGAGGCAAAGATACCCAATCCCTTTAAATGTTTTTTTTGAGGGGGGGGGGGCGGTCGGAAAGTGATATAATAAAACAAAATTAGTATAAGGGCGATTGGTGCCTAGCGATTGCCAAGGCTAAGAATTCCGTTCCAGAAACAAATTATTTGCCTTGTTTTGTCTATTTCCCCTTATCCAGATGAGCTAAATCTAAAATGTACGCAGACCTTTTCTCCGTTTGCCAATTATAGGCCTACCCTTACATTTTCTTTTCGTATGAACAATTTATACATTCCACTATTCCCCTCATGTATCGTTGTTCATATTAATTTGATAAATTTTCCCTCTTTTTTTTTTTTTTTACAGACATTGATACAAGAATGTTGAATTATGTTAAATTTCACTGAATATTCAGGGTGTTGATGGGTCCCAAATGCGATTGATGACCATCGGAAGTAAAGGGTTACACTTTGTACTAAAGCTATAGTATTCAGTAATTAATTTTTTCAAGGAGACTTACACTTCACTCTCTGACCGATTGTTATCGTCGATGTCGATGAGGCCCTCGTAATTTGTATCGTAGAGCATCGATCTCCGTATCCTATTCGCGTTGCACACCGTCACGGCAGGGAAAGCCTTGAACGTCTGCTGTACGATGTCGATCTTCGTCGAATACGGGGAACTCGCGTAATCACCATAGACGTTGAAGGCCTGGATGACGAAGAGGACGAAAGCTAGGACGATGATGGCGAGCCAGCACAGACGGAAGAGAAAATGACCGCGGGCGATCATGTACCGCACTCCATGTACGGTGGTTTCATTACCGAAGGTATTCACGGAGCCTATCACGGTTTCGTTCTGGAGATCGTCGGAGCCCATGCTTCAACCTCTTTACTTGATAATTTGTGTTTGGAGTCTTGTAACTTGAGCAGTGACGTGTATGCTTGATTTAGAATGCATTTAGCTTTCAAAGTTTTTTACACGCCCACTTTAAAGTTCAACAATTTTGTTTTTAATAACGTGGGATAGCCATGGATTCTCTTGGTTTCACCATACTTACTACAGCAAACAAACAAACAAACAAAAAACGCTAATATTCACGCTTTGAGGAATTATGGTAAACTTGGAAGGATCCATTTTGATCTAAGAAGTAACCCAGATATGCAGCATTCCTTCCGCAAATTCAGGTCTATATCTTATACTTCAATCACACCTCCAAACTGATTGCAATCCGACTCCAAACCGACCGATTCTTGGTCAGTCGTCATAATATGATTTCTAGCTTGGTCTGTTGTCGGTCGGATGTCCGTTTCCTCGGCGTGACTGGAGAGTAAGAATTAAGTGGGCGACCGCTGATATAATCTACGATTCTATCAACCGCGATCAAATATTATGAAGAAGGTAAACCGTATTAACAATCCGCCGCGGCAAAATAAAATAACATAAATGTCGTCCGATTCATATTGCGGTATCTTGTAACTCAGAGATAAATAAGTATGCTTTGTGGTTTTCGTGTGTGGAACAAATGCGCTGTCCAATACGTTTCACAGTGTATATATCGCAAGTTTCAATTTTGTAACATGGTGTATATTGAACAAAGAAAAATACAAAGTACACGTAAAAGTGTGGAGCTTGCCGCGGTTTTGAGAACATTTATCCCGTCATGTGTCTACAAGGCTGTTTAAAACACGCTCAACCATTATGGCGATAATGATGGTTCGGAGAGATATGATTTCTTAGTCGGTGCAATTTACTCAGATAATGTCATCGTGACTCATCTAATGTTGGTATGGTAGTGGAATGAATGAGGTGACATTGTCATTCAATTATCTCTTATCGATTAGCGAGGATGAAAGGGGAGGTGAAAAGAGACAAAAGAGGACGAAGTATTAGTGTTGAAAGAAAGAGAAATGAAATGGCAGTAATTAGTGGAGTAAAGAAAAAACAGAGAAACAACATTAGAAAGGAGACAGACAGAAAGATAAGAAACATAGAGAGAGAGAGAGAGACACACACACACACACACACACACACAAATTAGACGCAGAGAGAGAGTTAGGGAAAGACAAATTGATATACAACGTGAAGTACAAAGAAGAGAGAGAGAGAGAGAGAGAGAGAGAGAGAGAGAAGAGAAGAGAGAGAGAATTAATATAGAGGCCGAGAACAGAGTTTGAGAGTAATGCTTCTTGCTAATTAACAATTTAAAAAAGTAATGAACAACGAAATTACTATAATACTTCGAGATGACCATTAACGTCAGTACAAAAAAGATGTAACTTTAATTAGAATTGAGCTTCACTTAAGAAATAAGTAGTAATCAGCAATATTTCTCAGTCAATTACCCGTCAATAAGCCTTTACAATAGTGTGTTATAGCTACACTAATTAACGACATTGTGCCCGCTGGATGTGAAGTATCTCGACAAAAAAGGAGAAGAGTGAAGACGCAGAAATTATAGCAGAAAATAAGTTTGGATTTTGGGTAGAAGATCCAAAATTGGACGGATTCTCAAAACAAAGTTAGCTGATATCTTGCTAGACATTGACAAATTCTTGATGTGGAGCAATAAGTCAGTAACGTTGTTCCATTTTCTGATCCCTGGTATACCAACTAGACTTTCCTTTTCCTTTGCTTTGTAAACTCCTATAGGTCACATCTTAAACAGTGGATTGGAAAAGTGTGCATTTTGAATAGTAATAATAATAATAATAATAATAACTTTTACTTATATAGCGCTTTTCATAAAACATTTATATCAAAGCGCTTTACAATATTGATACAATTAAAAACTATAAAACAGAGTAATGACAAAAAACAAATATAAAGTGAAATTATGAAAACATAAGATAAGGTAAGGTAACAATATAAGAACTAGGTAACAATTTAAGAACTAGGTAACAATTTAAGAGCTAGGTTGAATATGCATTTTCCATTAGGTAAAGAAAAAGATAACAACTAGTATTCTTATTGTTGTGATTTTGATAAGATTTTCTTTGTGCTGCTTTTCGTAATTAAGATTGAATTTTTTAAGTTTGAAGGTATAACATGTATATTATTTTTTTGTTAAATATTTATTTTTAAAAAATAAGGAAACGTTTCTTACAGGCCTTGTGTTTTATATGGCTCTTCGCATTACTGCACGTGTATTTTGGAATCAATTGAAAAACTACTTATGCGGCAGTTTTATGTATATAACGTTGGTTACGAAATGTTGCTATTGATTTTGAATTTGAATTTGAATACGGTAAAGAGCCCAAACAGTTACAAGAATGGATTCCATCGGGGCCGTGTCAATCATTTGAAATAGATGAATTGAAAACTTTATGTAGTTAAAATAGTAGACTAATATAAAATTATTGAAAGATAATGAAAAGTAATGTCATACATCCAAGACAATTATACAGCTAAATGTTCATAATTGCAAGCACCTGATTCTTCTTTTGAAACTTAAAAGACTGATGACAGGGTTGCTTATTCTACTAGAGAATCAACACAATCCGTGTCTGAGAATTACCAATTAAGATAAAATCACTGTTTAAGCAATCACTGTAATACCCATTAATTAATTACCTAATTGCCGAGATGCCTAATGACGATTTCGTCGGTCAATATTGATTCAGTCACTCTTTCCGCCCTGAATTAGCTTTATTCTCCCTTCTCACACATAAGACAGGGGTTATTTGAAGATACGTGGTTGGATGTCGGCATGTGCGTTAGGGAGAGCTTTATGAGTGTATGTGTGTTGACGTGGATCCTAATCAAATGATTGGTTGAGAGCGTACACGTGACTAGGCATTTATTTTGCCTAATACGTAATTTTGATAATAACCGGTCATTATCAAATGCTAATGACCGGTTATTAGTAAAATCATGTTATAAAACATCATTTTATATAACAAATAAAACATAATCTTATAAAACAAATATTACACATCATTCTGTTCGGGCATTAGTAAAATTACCCACACTCGGTACCTTCGAAACAGTCCAAACGCCCGAGGCGAGGTCAGACTGTTCCAAAGGTACCTTGTGTGTGTAATTCTTACATACGCCCTCATTGCTGTATATTATTTGTATACTATTCTATTTCCACTTTCTTTCATTCCCTCTCTCATTACTCTCATTCTCTTCAATTTACATAACTGCCCATGCTTGTTGCTTCTTATACAGTTCTCTTTCTCCCTCTCAATACGGTCTCGGTATTTTCGTGTCACATGCCGGATAAGAATAGCAAAAGTAAGATAATTGAATGCATATTGAGCCATTCTGAGAGCTAAAATTACAATTAAAAAAAAATCTAGTGTATGTTTAAAAGTTACACAGTTACCAAGTTAAAATGTTTGCTCACCACTATCTGCGTACGTAAATGCGGAACGGGTCGAAATGCCCTCAAATCTTTCTTCAGCCATGATCACAGTGTACAAGGGTTTTTGGTTTTTTCCTCACAATTATAATTAATTAAAAAACAAACATAAGATAGCACTTACTGGTATTATTGGTCCATTGTTCTTACCAATTCTCATTAGACTTGGTTCAAGAAAAGGTGAGTGCTAAGGAGACTCAAACAAAAGGATATAAATAGAGAGAGAGAGAGAGAGAGAGGGGGGTGGGGATCGAGAGCGAGGGGAGAGATGAAGAGACAGATACATAAAGAGGGAGAGGGCTAGAGAACGAGAGATTTCAAGACATCATGTGCAAGTTAAGATATATTAATGTTCAAGTGAATTATTAATTGCCATTCAATGATAAAGATTCCAGATAAACTAGCGCCACACGTTTATTATTCGATTATTATCAATTATTAAACAGAAAATCAACAACACAAAATTAAAAATGAATGAAAACCCATTTGTGTCAAGTGTCAATTATTTCCATGATGATGTATATTTCACTTATTGAATGAGATCATGAAAAGAATAAAATAAACAATTAGCCGAGATCTTTATTTGTCTCTTGCTTCATTTTCAGGCCGTTCTTTATCGCCGGTAATGGCTGTAAGAGGTAACGATTCAGTCAAATTTAATTGAAATTATTGTGTACAGGGAATAGAGCGGATGTTATCACAAAATATTCAAGCAGCTCTCTGCTCTTATGGTTATTAAGAATATTTAAATGTGTTGATCAGATATGGGTAACGTAAAGTGCAAATTACCTTGGTCATGGAAGCTATACAGATTACTATTATTATAAGTAGAGGTAGTCAGGCGCGTACGCAGGGGGGGGGGGGGTTAAACCCCCCTTGAGTTTGTTTATGTGTATGTTTTGTGTATGTTTTTTGTGAAAAAAAAATTATGCCAATGGCTGACCTAAAAAAGGTAACCTTACCCCCCCCCCCCCCAATTTCAAGACCAAAAAAAAAATGTCCGCTTACCCCCCCCCCCCCCCCCCCCCCCCCCCCCCCCCCCCCCCCCCCCCCCCCCTGAGCGACCCCCCGGCCGGCCGCGCGATTTTGAAACCCCTCCCTTGAAAAAATCCTGCGTACGCCACTGGAGGTAGTTGGATTTGTATTATCATTACTATTATTATTATTATCATTATTATTATTATCATCATTAAAATTACTATTATCATCACAATTATTGTTGTTGTTATTAATAATAATAATAATATATTAACGTTTATTGAATATTTAGCATTTTGTTTATTCTTGCTTATTTGAATGATAAAGCAGTATTGTTTTGTTAGTTCATTCGAGATGAGTGGGCGAGACAAATGAAATGAATTATCCCTTGACAAATACCAAAGGCTTTTAAAACTGTTTAAGTACATAACAATATCAATGCCATTGTTTGCTGAAGCAGACGATGTGTACAGTTAAGACTTATAGCGTCTATACGAAGGACCACTAAATTTGGTTTTTATGCAAGCAAGAAACTTTAGGTTCATTAGGGGTGGATCCGGGAATTCGTAAAAACGGAGGGGAATGAAAAGAAGAACAAAAGAAAATCAAACTATACACAAAAGGTGATGAAAGATTTTCCAAGCAATCACTCAAGGTCTAGCTCAAGCACAAAGCACAAAAACGCACCTCATGCGTACCTCATGAACGATTAGGGTTTTAAACAGGCGACAAGGGCCAGTTAAATTATTTATCATTCTCTATCACTTCCTTCTCAAAAGCAGTCCTGCTAGCTATAATTCTCAATGCCCTTTCACTTATTATCTGACTTGCTATATTTACGTATCTCTCAGTCTGCTAGCAATTTCTGTCCTGATTCCCAATATATCTCTTCCTCTTCCCTTCCTCTCTCTCTCTCTCTCTCTCTCTGGCTCTCTGTCTCTCGCTCTCTGTCTCTCTCTCAATCTCTAGGTCTCTCTCTCTCTATCTCTGTATAAATATATATATATATATATATATATATATTTATCTTTCTATCCCTCTCTATCGTTCTCCTACTCCTTCTTCCCCCCTAACCCCCTCTCTATCTATCTCTTTCTCTCTCTCTCTTTAAAAAACTCAACCATATACATACGCACCCCATACCAACTTCATTCCCTTCTCTCTAAGCCTCTCTCTCTTTCTCCCCTTTTCGTTGTGAGTACGTGTAACAGACAGGTGCCATGAAAAATATCCAATAGTTTTTTTTTTAAGTCACGCTATGTTTTAATCTTACATTAAATTTCATATTTCAATGACGTTTCATTTCTTTTTATGAAGAAACATGCTAATTTAAATATAGGGCTATTATTACGGTAACATGAATAAGGTCAAATTTTTACATTTTACACTTTAAAACATGTTATCATAGCCGCATGCGAATCATTAAGTTAAAGGTATTACAAAGTTTTGGTATGGGGTCATGAATTTAGTTCAAATTAACATATTGGAAGCATTATGCGTTCCTACAATATACATTGAGCGTTGTCGCGGTTGAAATCGTGTTGTATAGCTCCCTCTCAAGGTCAATATATTAATTTAGCTATGAAACAATGTTTCTTGACTAAAATCGACCAATTAGCTATTCCCGTTTGGAAATTATATATCCCAACTACATATTCTGAGATTTTCATGGTCGCAGCTACCATTTTACGGCCATAGGCGGCGCTATTTGAAATTTATCAAAATTTACCGGGAGCACCGGAAAATTGTTATATTTAATTTTTTTCGAAAACAGAAGTGTTTTAGGGTCTAATTTTGTTAGTGCTTATAATACATCCACAGGGGCATCCAAATATATCAAAATTGTAAAGATTCACTATCCACCCAATTTTCAAAATTTCCCAAAACTTTGTATTACCTTTAAGTTTACACATGAATTTGGCATGTAAAATATTTGATACAATTGAAATTAAAAAGGAGAAACAGTAATATAAAATATAAAAAGAGACATATACCCTATAATTTGTTACCTTATTCAAAATGGAATGTTGATTCGGTTAAACTTATGTAAGTTAATATGAAGCTATTGCTGCTTATGTACGACATCATTCTTATATTTATTTAGTATATCACCAACTTTACAAAGAAATTTGTTACATTATATGTGTACATTTTCTACACGTATATCAAGTATCATTTCTTTTCCAAACCCAATTAAAGATCAAAGCATACGGATGCATATCAACGTATTATAACATAGCCTGTAGGCAGAGATATATATTCTCCTAAGGTAAAACGATAAAAGTAGTAGAGGCTCATCTATACAACAAGCATATGGAAAAATCTATATCAGTAAATGCAAAACTTGAATATAGGCATATTATACATATACATAAATTTATTCTTACTATTCAGGTCAACCAAATAACGAATGTCATTCATATGTCCGCCTGACGTATATGATAAACATATCATGTACTTTATGTCACACATACCTATAGGGAGTATTTTCTCTCAATTAATAGATCTCTACTTAAATTCCTTCACGAGATATTAGTCCTTTTTACTTTCGTTATTGTTGTTATCGTTGTTTCTGTTTCCTTCCATCGTTGCACTCTATACAAGTATAAGGGCTATGTTACATAAAAGCATCATTGCAGCTGCAAACAAGTTAACGGGAAAAAGCACAAGTTTAACCGACTTGATAAATTTTGAGTTTATTTTCTTTTCTTAAATGAAGAGATGATTTTTAAATGTATATACATACAGGCGCATACGCAGGATTTTTTCAAGGGGGGGGGGTTAACATTTTTAAATCGGGCCGAAAATTTCGCAACGACTCAGCCAGCCGCTGAAAAAAAAATTACCAAAGGGGTAGGGGGGCTTGCTTCAAAATACACACATAAAAAATACCAAAGGGGGGTAACCCCCCCCCCCCTTGCGTACGCGCCTGTATACATATATATCCTGTTTTCCTTTTTTGAAAACGTACTCGTTATATTTTACTTAGAATCGATATGTGGATTCTTGATTCCATCTTTCTTCCTTTTTGTCTTTGTTTGTTTTCTCATTCATCTTTTACACATACATGTAGTATATTCGATTGTACTCTTCATTCACGGTTTCCATAGTAATGGCTCTCAAATCTCATAGTCATAATACAAACTCTCTTTCACATGTCACTCACTATATAGTACACTTATTGTTCAACAGTCTATTGATTAGCCACTCAGCGAACATATGACAGTTTTTAGAGAAGAGATTAAAATTATGGTCCTGATGATACCGCACCGCCAGCTCTGTCGCCTGATATTCTGTGCATAGGCTGCGTCCAGCCGTGGTCTTTCTCACTGTAGGGCAGCTGGTAGGGTTAGTTCTCCCCACTCCTCCTTCGTGTAGGACCAGACTATTGGCACCGAACTCATAGGTCTTTCCTCTGAAGTACACCATGGAATGATTCAATACCCTTTTTCCGACACGAACGTCTCGCTTCCCCTTCTTAAATTTTAAACCTCGGTAAGCGGGCGGGACGTTACATTCGAGGTACAAAAGATCGATGGAAAGGTGATAGACTGGGCTACCGTGTCCTCCGTGGTCTCCTAAAATATATCAAATAAAGTTATCTGAATAAATATGGCTGTAGCCTGGAAACTGTGTGGCACGCAGAAAGTTATTTAAAGATAATCTTTGGTTATGGTAGCCAAAAGGAAACTAGAATGGAACCATGTAAAACATGCGGCAAAGGGTTTCATTTTCTTTTGCCTGTATAAAGACCACGGTCATGTGCCATATGATTTCGTGGCCATTTTCTTCGATCCATGGAAGTGTAAATATCGGGAATAAATGCTATTAAAATCGATGCTTTAATATTCAAGTTGGACCCCATTCTCAGACCAATCTACTAGACCGATCCATAGGCACGGTTCGTTTGCCTTCACACCCATCGCAATATTTACCTGATGAGACCCGCAAAACCATAGCAACATGAACCGTTCCTGTTGCGATGACAGCACGGGTCATTTTCGTGCCGGTCTGATCGTCAAGTCATGGATTTTTTTGTTCCCCTCACAAAGTGATTATTCATTTTTCTCCTTTCATGTTCTGTTTCCATTTGTTCTTTATTGTAGTCTTTTGTTTTCCAACCCTCTTTTCTTCAAATAAATTATTTCTTATGAATCCCTTTTTTTTTAATTTTACAACTTTACTCTGTCAAAAAAATATTCATAGTGTTTTTGTTTGTTTAAAGTAATGCTTGCATTTCCATAATTTTATTAAACGAATCCGTTCCACTGGCTACCTGCCCTAACAACAAAGAAGACTTCATGCATGGCTGATTGTCAACGAATCGGAGTCGTGAGTAAAACGAATTCGTTTAATAAATTATGGATATGCAAGCATTACTTTGAACAAAAAGAACTTTGTTATACCTACCTCATTCTTCCTTAGGTCATAATATTTATGAAAGAGCAAAAAATTATCTTTCTGGAAATGTGATTTTCTCTTTGAAATTCAGATACCGTTCGCCAAATGAAGAAGAAGAAGTAAAGTACATTATGGAACCGAAAAGCAGTGCCTTAGGACTGCTTATTAAAACGAAAACAACTTATCAACAGATGCTCACGACATATTAAATCGCCCTGAAATGGCTGTTAACTGAGAATTAGAAAAAAAGAAAATGAATACAAGGTAACTTCTTTGTTATCGACTTACGGATATCGTGCCAGAATTCGAATATTCCGAGGGATGGCGTGAAAAGGATCACCGATATGATGAAACAAATCGTCAACTTCATCTTTTCCGAGCAAGTTTGACTGGTCACTCTGAACCGCCACTATTTGGGGAAAATCTAATGATGATTTTTCAAACAGGGTCGAGTCTTCTCGTCGTCGAATTTTTCTCTCCGAAATGATTGAAACCAAACTACAGACTTCTTTTATCAGCTCGTCACCCACTTCCTCGTACCAGCTTCAGGGGCGGATCAAGCATTTCATTACAAAAAGGGAAGCTAAATATTCCTTGAATTGAGTGAAATGCAAAGAAAAATAAATGGTCACCGCCTCAAAGTGAGGGGGCGCACATCCTTCGACTTGAGTGTCAAATGAGGGGGGGGGGGGGCGACACGGGCTGGTGGTGCCCTCCCCCCTAAATTTGCTTTTGTTTAGGTTCACCTCTTAATCAATATAGTTTGGTCTTCCTATACCACCCTTGGCAACGTCCCTAATAATCAAAGAGAAGGTTCAGTTCAGATAAAGGTGACAATTGGTTTATGAGCTTTCACATTCTCTGTATGTCGGTTTGGAAGAATATCATAGCAGCAATGTCCCCTAGAAAAGATTGCTCTTCATATGCCCTCGTACTCCAAATATGGCTGACAAGTTTGAACTAAACGTTCTTATCGCATACGTGTGTAGGTTCTCATTCTCACTTCCTGTGCTCATACTCTTCAAAAATATTTGGTAAAAGTTTGCCACAAGGGTATAATTGAGCGTACAACCAAAGAGGGAACACCAGTTTTAGGGAATTTCTTTTCCAGCTTGGTTAATACTTTGCCAATTTTTAAGTGGAGTGATTGATATTTGTTGGGATCCTTTAAACGGGATGATATAAAACTCACGATGGGTCAAAAGAAAAAGCCCCAAATTGGCCGAACACATAATTACCTCGTTTTAGGGTTCTTACCCATTGTTTTAAACAGTTCAATTCATGTGTATTTTCATCAAGATTGGATCCGTTTCTTTTTATTTTGACCATTCCAAATCCTTACGGTAAACATCAATTCGTATGTATGACTAAACAATCTTACTCAAATGCTTCTGGTCAGTTTATTTTACAATGTAATCGCAGGACTGGTACTCAACTTTATCTTTAATGTTTTGACACGTTTATCACAGGTAGCACTAAATAGAAATATAACAATAGTAAGGCATGCCAACTGACTGTCATAATGATTTTGCGGATGTGGCATGTCAATGTCATTGATATTTATATCAATCAAATCAGTTCCTCTTTCCTCGTCAAGATTTCCGATTCAAAACATTAAAAGAAGAGAGATCATTAGGTTAGCCAATAAGTTTCCTCTTCTATGTTGGCAAAGTTCCCGATATCCGTTTCAACTTTTATGTTTATTTTTATTTTTGAAGGACATATCGATGAGCGAGGAAGTATACCTGGATAACAAAATATAAGCTTGCAATTCCCTAAAAATCCCCACTGCATAATACCGAAACCAGATGATAGCTTCTATATACACGTCACCTGCATCTCACGGGCATGTCCAAGAAGGCTTTTTTTAAAGTGGGGATCTAGTCACACCCCTACCTCCATTCTAATAGGCAAAAGATACTATCGGAGTTTGGGGGTCTTGGTTTACATCCGACAATCTTTGACCAAAAAGCAGATACAACAAAACAGCATCAATATTTTGATATTTTGAGAATTGCATTTGAATTCAGAATATATATTTCTTTTCGTGATGGGGGATAACTATTCGGGCTTGACTGGATAATGGAAACAAAACTGATGAAAGATGATACCACAAGAACATTTTTTTAAGCGGGGATACAAAATCTTTGATTCAAACTTTAGCAAGATATGTTAAAAGTGATTTTATACATTCTACATGTGTATTAAAATTCCTCGGGGCACAATAACTCTTAACAAATATATAAAACCTGGACAGACATTTCGATAACCGGGCATAGTGGCTCAGTCGTTAGAGCGCCCGCCTCATGAACGGGAGGTCGTGGGTTCGAACCCCGGCCGAGTCATACCAAAGACTTATAACAATGGTACCTTCTGCCTTCTACCTAGGCGCTCAGTATATTAGATTGGAGAAGGGTAGTAATAACATATTATGTTATGCAGGGCCCGCTGGAAGAACAGTTTCATAACTGAAGTGGGTACCCTGGGTGAATAAAAGTTATTATTATTATTATACTCAGACAGACGCACTGGCGGATGCAGGTAGGAGGGGCACACAAACGTCCCATTCCTTAAATACACCCCAAACAAAATATTATCTCGACTTGTTTGATATTTTTTGTTCAATTGTACCCTTTTACATAACCCTCAATCCGCCATTTTAATCAGACGGACACAATAACGCTTTTTATTCCTTTTAAAAAAAATTTTTTTTTACGTGTCTTCCTTTCATATATGTATAGACTTGCTTGTTAACGATTATAGCTGCCATGAAGCTTTTACATGATTGGCGCATGTACGCACATCTCTATGATTTTACTTTTGATTGATATATCCTTTTCATTTTATGAACACAGTGAAGATTGTATTTGTTCAAAGATATATTTTCTTTTATTATATTCCTTTTAGCACTCTAACTTTTTGTTTCTTTTAGAAATGTAAAAAAAGTTACGTATACTGTATAATTTTTTACTATATTATTTAAATGCAAAACAAACAAGTTTTAAATGCATACATTAACAAAAAATCTTGCCAAAGAACGAAACTAGGCTCGACTAGCACTTGTGCTAACTTCTACTTCCCATCAACAACTTCACCTAAATATTAGTAATACACATATATTCACATGTATATCTTATACATTTAATTATATGCAGATCTTTATTTAAATATCGTTTTTAAAACCATTAATGTTTAATCAAAAGAACCGTTCCGTTATGTCTTCATGTATCATTATTATTCTTTGCACTGTATGCTTCTTCATGTACTGTTATTATTGTGATGCGTTGATGTTAATAAATTCAAATTATTGTGCAATATATACCAGGGTAACCATATTAGTTCTGTATTAATACTGCTCTTCCTTCAATCAGTCTTTGCTTTTTAAAGTTATTAAATGTTATAAAGTTTAAAGCTATTAAACGTTAAAACGTCATCTAATGTTATTTAGAATAAATTCATAAAAGTCATTCAAAGAACGAGTAAGCATCAAGGACTTCGTGATGAAGAACTAGACTTGAATACTACCCTTGAATCGAAAGCAGAATTCTATATTCACTGAAAACGAAAATAAAAAAAACTAAAAACAAACAATCACAAACAAATAAAAGTGCGTAGGTATTTTTTGCTTTGGATGGTTGAAATGAATCGTACTTTGAGGGTTGAAATTTGTCTTCATCAGACGTAACAAGGAGTAAATGAAACAGACAGGCTTGTTTCCATCTTGACTGATTCACTCGACGAGGTCAAATCTGGCAAGTGTCTGTCACAAAATGCAACATATGTCAAAGTCAGAGTGTGAACAGACATGTCAAGTCACAATCCTAAATTCTCGTTTCTCACTTACCCAGATGAATAGATCTACTTGATCGCCTTTTCTCTATCAAGGTACAGGTACGCACCCACTGCCTAGAAAATGCGAGAGACGTTTGCAATATGGTGTCCTCTTTTCCCCTTCCTTTCTCTTCATCTCCTACTTCTCTCTCTCTCTCTCTCTCTCTCTCCCTCCCCCTCTCTCTCTCTCTCTTTCTCTCTCTCCCTCCCCCTCTCTCTTTCTCTCTCTTCCTATTGTTCCTCTCGTCGTATCTGTGTATTTCCCGTTGTTCCCCTCTCAGTCTTTCTGTCATTGTTTGTCAATATGCCTCTCTCTCTCTCTTTAGCTCACGATAATTTCTTCAACACCGTTTATTCTATTTTTTCTTCAGACGTTTCATTCTAGAATAAATAATTAATATACATACTCATATTATACTGATTTCTAAACAAAGTAGAAGGTAAATTTGTATATACATGTAAAAATATTTACTAGAATTGTCCGGAAAAGGCCTACAAATACAAAAAACACGACGTGGACTTTTAATTATATGTAATTGTTTCGTTATCAATGAACAAACAAATTTTAGTCGACATTATATACATCGTTTTGATCAATATTACGCCCAGCGAAAAAAAGGGGGAAAAAGATGAAAGTGGACACTTAATTAAGTCTTTCAATAAACATTTAGTATAACAGAATAAACATAAATTGACATTTTTAAAAGATGGTATACAATTGGAATATTATATGTAACGCATGAGTGAGCATCGTCATTTAACAATATATGAGTCTCTGGGGAAAAAATATGCAAAAATGAGGCATTTATCTGGCCATTCAAATGCTGATGAGCAATCCCATCTTTTAGAGTCAAATTTCAACAATGAAAAAAAAAGGGTCACGAGAAACACGACAAAAGTGGCATCTTGACCATGCTCGTCAAAACCATGCAATCATGAGACTACAGTTGATATCCAGAGATAAATTCTCCTCACTGTTTTTCATTCTTCGTCTCATGTTCCAACCAGAATGTACTACATGCAGATGCACATGTCATTTACATTTGAATACCGAACTTTGCTACTTTTTGTGTGCAATGTTGTCAATCAGACCTTATTATACGTTTAATAAATGTGCCTAAACAAGCATGACATTTCAAACTCGATCTTAATGGATATCGTTAGATTAATTACATTTTCTTAAATTTTATAAACATTTTATAATTCTTTATTGACGATTTGTCCGGCGATTTGTCTAAAATTTTGAACATTAAAGAGAGTCCACTTTATATAGTTAGGTTTATACGTAGGTTTATTGATAAGAGGAACCAATAACAATAACAATATGCTCTTTTAAGATTAGCCCCTGTAAACTAATATCCAATCAAATTCAAACTTATTTACAAAGAAAAGTAGAATTTGAAGCGATTTACAATATTTGCAGGAACTGTGATTTGAATTTGGGGGACCTTTAACAAAACTAATACCCCAAAACTCCAACGATCTGGTCTGGTACCGTATTTAAGGATTGACAACTTTTAAAGCTGCTCTTAAAGAGAAGGTTGGGTTCTGGGAAGAGGTGAAAAATAATTTGTGAGCATTACTCATTCTTATTATGCAAGTGTGGAAGAACATCAGTTAAGACATGTTCCCTGAAAAGCATGGCTCTTCAAATGCCTTCATATTCTAAATATGCATGTAACATCGTAAAAATCGGGGGGGGGGGGGCGGCTTTTTACGCCACGTGTTCGTGTAGTCCCATATACATCTTTCTGTGCAAGTGTTTGTAACTTTACCAAGACTTGGCCAAATTTCTTATCATTTTGATGATTCCAGAACCTTGCAATACACACAAATTCTTATATGCTAGATGATCAACCTTTTCTGGTCGGTTCCACACCGTTTCTTTCACAATACAATCGCATGACCAGAACTCAATTTCATCTTTAACCCCTAAACCACTCCTCGAATAAGAAAACACCTCTTACATATTATCAATTAGGCTTTAAGAGAATGCACTCGGTTGGCAAAAAAGAATTTGGTGAAAGTGATTTGTGTGACCTTTAGCAGGAGAAAGGTGACCTCAAACAAACTGACGAACGACATCCCGGTGAATAAGCCCATGAGTCCACCTAAATTACCCAGAATATTTGGAATCTGGAGGTGACGTTGAGAGGGGGTAGAGAGGAAGAGAGGGTAAAGAAGGAAAGAGAGAGAGAGAGAGGGGGCAGTGAGGGCAAGAGAATTAAAAGGGAGAAATAACAATGAATAATACACAATGACACCATTGAAATAGTAAGAGAGACGGAGGGGCGGGAGAGAAAGAGAAAAAAGAGAGAAAGAGACAGAACAGAAAGCATTAGTCAAGGATTAATGCGCAGCATGGTCAAATCTTCCAAAAAATGATAAGAATGTCATTTTATAGCAACATTTTAGATATAAGATTAAAAATTTGAAACAAGCCTGATAAAACGTATTATATTATCATCAACTGACTAAGCAAAAAGTCCGGGTGCTATTTCAAACTTCCACTACCTCGGAAAAAAGAGACAAATAGACGGCTAAATTAGATGAGCTTAAAGCCATATTGATTGTGTTTGTTAACAAAGAAGTACGAAATTACTGGACGCTCTTGTGCAGGAAAAAAGTCATCATAATACAATCGCTGTCCATAAAATGAGTGGATTTTCGCTTGCTGGGACGAGCATGAGGTTTTATATAGCACCGGAGTGTTGGCTCATTCAGTAGAGCGTCCGCCTCACAACCGGGAGGTCGTGGGTTCGAACCCCAGCCGCGTCATACCAAAAGACGTTAAAAGATGGGAGTTGTTGCTACCTTGTTTGGCGTTCAACAATAAGGGATAGAGCAACGTCGATCTGGCGCTGCTCAGTGGCTGCCGGGCTCACGATCAATTGGGCAAAAAGAATTTCCGTTTCGGTTTAATAAAATTTGGAGTGGACTATTAGGCTGTTATTATTATTTATATGAATTAAAAAGATTTAAAAAAATTTGGAATCACACAAAAACAATCCTATAAATCAATGCCACTTACTGTGTATCGGGGCATTTGCTCCACGCGCTCTACGTTCAGCGTCTCGAAGTAGATCATCACTCGAATCATATTACTCCTTAACATTGACAAAAAGAGGGACATGTAAACGAAAATTAACAAGTAAATATGTAGACTCTCGAAGAGGGCTCCAGATGGTTCACTAAATCAAATTATGCATCAATTCTTAAACTTGTGTTTTTTTCTTCAACTACAATGGCCGACTACTACGATAACTAATACGGCGACGATATAACAGCGACGACTACTACTAATACTATTACTAATTGTATACCATTCCTTTTACCACTACTACTATACTACTATATACTGCTTTAATATTATATACATGTATTAGATTACTATTAACTATAACACTTTATTACTATGTTCTATCCTAATATACTACAATTCTACCATATTATTATACTACTATACTACTTTAACGTTACTACTACAACAACTACTACTACTGCTTGCACCATTTTTTATTTTACTACTATACTACTATTTAATATACTACTACTGTATTACCATACTATTACACTACTTAACTAATTTACCACTATAAACCACCACTACTACTCCTTATACTACTTTTACCTCTACTACTATATTATTATACTACTGTACGAGTTTGTTGTTATACAACTGTATTATGTTACTACTAAACTACAATCCTACCATAGCATTATACTACTACACTACTAAACTACTCTACCTTTACTACTACAATTACTACTACTACTACTACTACTACTACTACTCCTCCTACTACTACCACTATACTATTATAACTCCTACTACTACCACTATACTTTATAATTTACTATTTCTTCTACGTTTAGTCGTACATTACTGCTAATACTGATATTAGTATTTCTAAATCTACTACTTGTGTTGCTGGTGTTACTACTTTTCTGTTACCAACACTTTTCCCAACACTGTTTTCTCTTCTCTCTTAACTTGTTACTTCTCTTTCTGCTGTTGTTGTTAATTATACTTACTTGGACAATTCATCGTCTGCTAATATTATTCTGAGTTTAGAGTTGGTAACGAACTTGCTCACAAGATGACTCTACAATAAATGTGTGCATGATGTAAAGGAAAAAGAGAGAGAAAGAGAGAGGGGTAAAGATATTATGGAGGTATTAAAAAGGCCCCGACGTCTAGTAAAATTTGGCATTCATACTAAGTATACTAAGTATATAATTGTTTTTTGTTTGGTCGCACATCCGGGCATTCGGGGGGGGGGGGGGGTAATGGCGCTAGCGAGATTTAAAAAGTGGCTCACTAAAGTTTGCACATCAAAAATAATAAGGGACCAACAAATTTTGATAAGAAATGTCAATATTTTCAGAGTCATGTTTACAACTTTTAAGTACATCTTCATTTTTAGAAATCAATGCCATAACTTATGTGGCTATCAGTAATAATGTGCACACTGTGTCCATGGTTCATGCATTCCACAGTATGTTTTCAATGTCATATTATGTCCATATTATGTTTATCAGAGTTTAACTATTACCTTGAACCTTCTGGATGGCCAGGCTGCAGAAGATATCGATGTCCTGTAGCTCTTCTCTCTTGTCATGAAAACCAACAAAAATACGAGAGCATTTAAAATCAAACCGAGTGTGTCATTTTTACTACGGTAAAGAAGACAATTAATTTGTAAAATTTCTCATTCTTTTATGAGCATTTGTAATATCCCATGAGAAGTATTTTCATGATGTCATATTCTAAAGAAGATTGGAAAACAATTTTAGAAGATTATAAAGTAATTTGCAGCATTTGAAGCTTCACGTTTTTGTGGTCCCATGTTCCCATTTTGGTGCCTTGTGTTTTCGATTTTTTTTCTATAAGATTTATTCTATCTGTTACAGCTTTGATAATTCCTAGTCGAATAAATGATTGCTCCTATCAAATACTCAATTTGCCATTCGGATTTACTAACATTTACCAGTTTTACAAGTTTTCTTTAAAACCAAATTACCATTTAACAACTCAAACTCTCGAAATTTAAATAATATACCGTAGCTGATTACGTCTTTAAGATATCCACAGGACCCACATTTCTCTTAATCTCAACATATAAAGAGTATAATTTCAAAAGGAGCTAATTCCAATATTGTAACTTCAGAGACAAGGGAAATTGTTTATCAGATTTCGTACAGGCGTCTTTGGAAAAGTGAAATTAGAAGGTGCGATTTTTCATAATTGCTCCAAAAATTTAGGTGAATAATTTTAGTGAAAGACAGGTACTTTAGTGAACAATGTTCTGATATCAATAACGCAATTTTCATCAAAAGTGGATTAAGGTCCTTTTGGAATTAAGCTCTTCATATATAGGTGACTCTTCCAAAAAATACAATCTTTAAGTTAGACAATATATCCAAGTCCAGTTGTTGGTATTCACTTTTTCTTAGAACGATGAGCAAGGGAAATTATTTTATTTTAACAATTATTCTATTTTGATAGTGGGCATATACAAATGGGTAAAATACAGAACTTTAATAAGAGCAGAAGAGAACAATACTTATTACAGAAGCTAAGACAAAATCAGATAAAACCAGTTAGTAACTTTACTTACGTGCATGGCATGGGACAGTCGCACCCCAAGTCATCTTCTGCGTACCGGGCCTGTACCTCAGCAACGCATTCAACTATTAAGAAAATTAAGATTAGATAAAACTTATAATAATGACTGAACTCAAGTAGATATGAAAAATACGATACCCAAATCAAAAAAAAAAAATCAGTAGTTCATGACTGCATTTGAAATACATGACTGATTTTTTTTTTATAGCAATATCTCCTCAATATATCATTAATTTGATTTGAAAGGTCCATCCTTAATTATTGTTTTAAAGTACGTACTAAAACCCCCCCCCCCCCCAAAAAAAAAAAAAAAAAAAAAAAAACCAAAACCCCCCCCCCCCCAAAAAAAAACAGTGTCTTTCACAATGCAATAGCGTTACAATTATTCACATGATATTAATAATTCTTCTAAGCTGGTGTATTAACTCCGACGTACACGAGGCGTCATTTTGACTGAGCTACTACCTGCGCTAATAGAGCCTCTAGATCTAGAGGCACAGTAATTCAACGCTCTATTACCCTGATCATTTTGCATTCACCTTTATTACGATACCACTCTCACTTGGCGCGTCAGGGAAATGACGCCTCTTGGGAAACGCTTTTAACTATTATCCTACCACAGGGCTAATCCCCATTGTGCCAAGCCACAAATCCCCCAGTGCCAAGTTTATAACGAGATAATCGGATTATTAACGCGATGGTACTATCAATAGCGCGTGCAAAACACTAGGCACAGTCCAATCAGCATAAACAATAATGCTATTACGAATGCGTGCAAACATGCAAGAAGCAGAGAGGTAGTAGCTTGTACAAAGCACTATAACAATAGCGTACATGCAGCCTTATGGCAAGCTATGAGTTAAGATAACATTCAGTTGAACTTACCTTCACTTTTGTTGGTAACACTGCATTGTCTGTAGTCGAGGAGGAGTATATCATCCACACAACTACATCTTTCTAACAGGCTTTGCTGGTAACATATCTTGAGACAGCAGCGTACGGTGTAATTGGTCCCTGAGATTGAAGTATTGGTTCCAATCTTCCTATCAACCACGCACTGGGAAAACTTGGGAAGGCGCTGTATGACTTCCTAATAATTAAAAAAATGGAAGATTTCGTTTTCAAGTCAAGTTCTTATATAGAAAAGCTATACCCTATTCTATGTACAATTGAAATTATATTTTACACACAAATGCTTTAAGTCATCTATTCAAAAGCAAGGTTTATTTGATATAAAGCTTGCAATCTTCCATTCGATGAAATGTTTGCGCGCGGGTGCGTACGAGTATAATTTCACGAGGGTCGTTGTCTCTTGCCCAAATATCGCACTTTCCAAATTTGTTTTCTTAACTTCATTTTTATGTTATGGTCAAATAGAGAAAACGACGTTGGGAATATATGGTCACAGCCATATACAAGTAGCGCGTTTTTCGCCTTTTTAATAGGGTTTTAACGTAGTTTCGTCATTCAAGTACAGTATATCAAATCTTTTCATGTCATATCATCAGGTAATTTTTACGAAAAAAATATTTGGATCGAAGATGTAAATGAAGATTATTTGAAGAATGATGCTTTGAAGCTTGTACAATAATACAAATTATAATGATAATAATGATATTACGGACTAAAAACATAAACATTGCTGATATTCACATTTCTCAAACTGCAATCTCTGTGTTTACATTTTGGATAAATACTATACCATCAGCATTTCGAAATATGTGTTAGTACAATAGTAATATACATTTTTATCCTACACGACACTCATCCGATTTCCATTTAACTATTAACCCCAAAATTATTATGGCCTATAAATCGATATGACACCATAGTCCAGATATTTGGAATGCTTTACCTGTCAATATTGAACACTCTGCATCGCTATATACATTCAAAACCTCGATGAAAAATAAGATTTAATATCCAAATATTCATGAACATTATAATAATAGTGAACATTTATAATGCCCCATTTCTGTCAAAAATAATACCCCTGGCGCAGTTGTGTGAAAAATTGTATAATTGTGGGCATACGACCATCAAATGATTCAATAAAGAAAGTAACATACACATAAGTTAAAGTTTAACATACTTCAGGACATAATTTTACAATAATAGAATTACGATAATCATTTGTTAACCTAAAAGGTCTTAACGATTTTAAATGTTTGATTATACAAATTAATTTCTTTCTTCCCACTTTTTATTTAGATACTTTCTTTAAAAAAATAATTATACGTGACACTCTATTCTACTTCATACTCCCCGGCTGCATCGACTCACTCAATCATTCATGCTGATGATAGTTGGCGTCTGCATTTATCTTGATTTTTTATTTTATTTACCTCCATACTTTTAAGTTTACAATTATATATATATATATTTAAATATTTGTATTTCAGTTGTCACATGATATGGTAAATCAATTGCATTATATACTTTATTGTTATTAGAATATTTAGTTTTCAATTTTTCAATAAATGCGGAAACATCTGTCGAAAAATAAAATTATAATAATAATGATAATGATAATAATACAAGCATACTTTAGGAAAAACAAGAATAAAAGTACTGATAATTACCTCTCGTATCCCGATAGAGATGGCGCTCCCAGTCTCAAGGTTGATACCGTCATCCTCGGGAAATGGAACCGTATTAGGAGCATGGATGACGACCATTGCCCCTCGGTTCGGCGCCAAAAGCCCCATATACTCCTCTTCGTCAACCATAAGACTGAGATGTAAACCTGCACTCGAATAGATGGAAAGGGGATACAAAGAAAGGGGGAGTAGAGAAAGAGAGGGTGGGAGTTAGTGTGTGAGAAAAGGGAAGATACATGTATGATGATATTTTGAATGATGATGATGGCCATGATCAGAAGACTTTCGACAAAAAGCAAGTCGATGGCAATTTCAAATACCATATTGTTTATCACACTGTCACATACAAAACATATTCGGACTACGTTTTACGTCATTTGATAGTAACATTCATGCATTTCAAAAGATCATCCGCAAAGCTTTGAAATTGCCTCAGATTGGTTTATCGGAAACACTTCCGATCTTGTTAATTTATTTAATTTCTAGATAAAGAAAACGGTGATCTCAAGATATGATTTATTTTAAATTATCTTTTTTCAACAACAGCGCAAAAAAGACTTAAATAATAATTATCAGGTATGCATAACCAGGGACAAAAATTATTACGACAATGAAAATTGCATTTACTCACTCATCCATGTAATTATGATTAATAATAACAAACATGGTATTTTTGGGGGTGGGTCAAGGATTCCATGAAGGGAAAGGGCGGAATTGCGGATTTTTTTCTTCAAAAGAACTAAAGATTTCTCATTTCAGGTCTGTTTTGCGTCTCAAGTTTGAAAGGGGCAAATCAGAATCGCAATGATGGGGGGGGGGGGGGTAAATTGTATAGACCAGTTTTTGGAAACGCCCCCTCTAAAAACATGAAATGGAAGCTCTTATTACCAATCATGTGAAAGAATATGTTTTTGACTAATACGTGATGGTACAAATTTTGCCGGGAAAACCGCCCTACTAATTGATATATTTGGTAAATTATTATATCTATCCGGACTGGATAATATAGCGTAGACCCATATACATCTATCTGTGTACAGTGGTTGTAACTTTACCGAGACTTGGCCAAATTTTTCATCATTTGGATGATTCCAGAACCTTGCAGTACACACAAATACTTATATGCTAGATGATCAACCTTTTCTGATCGATTCCAGAACGTTTCTTTCACAATGCAAACGCATGACCATAACTGGCCTTTACCTTTAAGGTATGCCACCAGTGGCGGATCCAGAGGGGGGGGGGGCGGCGGCACATCCCCCTGGAAAAAAAAAACCCTGATTTTTATCCTTTTAGGCGCCAAGGGGGGGGTGTAAATTTTTAAATTTTCGAGGACCAAAACAAAAAAATGTGCTCATTACCCCCCCCCCCCCCCCCCCCCCCCCCCCCCCCCCCCCCCCCCCACTGAGCGACTTTTCGACCGGCGCGATTTTCAAATTTTCGGGAGCCAAAAAAAAAAAAAAAAAATGGGCCCCCTCCCCTAAGACATCCTTGATCCGCGCCTGTATGTCACTTTGGGTTTTAAAAGGGAAAGGGCCGGTACGCCCCCTCCCCTATTCATACAAAGTTCATTTAATCATACCACAACATTCAACATTACCACTTAGAGCTCCGGTCTTGCTGGTCACCCTTGGGGGTTCGTCATCTCCATCCCCAAAATTGAAAGTGAAACAGTTCCCGTAGTGCCGATTCTGTAACACCGTAAAGTCCGCGCTGGAGAAAGAAAATTAAACATGACCAACAAAAAAAAAGATTACATGATCCGAACATGGTTTCTATAGATAATACATTTGAAACTGCCCATGAATTTTTTTTTTTTAAGTCTTTGTGGTCGTATTTATTGTAGCCTAATTCATAAAGGGACTTGGTAACATTGTTCAGATGAGAGAAAATGGTGCTAAGGTAGTGACTTCAATGCTAGATGTGCAATTAAAGGTAATCTGAAAGTTTGAGTGAAAACAGACCATTATTAATGATAAAAATTTGGGAATACTGATCTGATCGATTCCTTAATTCTCCCAACTAGATTATTACAATTTAATAACATTTTAGGTGAATGTTAATCGTCACAAAGCGATGAGTTGGCTCTATATACCATTCCAGAAATGTCAGTGTTTTAAAAAGCCTGTCTTGTCTCTTATTTTCATGGAAAAACGGTTGGGAAAATTAAAAAATGGTTGGAAAAATTAACTGTAAAAGGGTGTTGCACAATATCGCTTTCAAATAAAATCACAAATATCTTTGTCATTTTGAGAATTTTCTCAGGATTTTCTTTGTTAGATGGTTGGTACAGTGGAAGGAATATAATAAGTAACGTTTCTTCCAAACATTACGCAGTTTTTTCCATAAACCTTCAACAATGTTACCGAATCACTTTAATTTGTTACTACTAGTGGCATGTGATTACCTCATATTACACGACTTCTGATTGTAAGTGCACTGGATCACGAAGTCTTCAAGTGTGTGTCCATAGTCATTGAGCTCGGCCTTGGTTGGATTGACCACGTTGATGAAGTCGCTGAAGTCGTCGGCGCTCGATGCCGAGTAGAAGCCCTGCCAGTCGTAGTCATCTTTCACCGAAGCCCATACATTGTCCGATGATTTGTCCCTGGTGCTGCTTCTCCCTTGAAGTTCAATATATGAATCAATAAAGGCACAGTCGAATCACTTTCTCTCTCTACATAGATATTTCGTCAAATGTAATATAGTTATCGCCAACATAATCTCTCTTTCTTTCTTTAAAAAAAAGCTTTCCCTCTTTTTCTCTTTCTCCCTCTCTCTCTCTCTCTCTCTCTTTCTATCACGCTTTCTTTTTTTCTTCTCCATCTCTCTTTCTCTTTATTTTTCTTTCTTTAATTCTTCCTTCTTTTTTTGTCCTCTCTCTCTCTGTCTCTCTTTCTATCACGCTTTCTTTTTTTCTTCTCCATCTCTCTTTCTCTTTTTTTTAAATTTCTTTAATTCTTCCTTCTTTTCGTTCCCTCTCTTTCTTGATCTCTCTTTCTCTTTTATTTCTGTATTGCTTCCTTCCTTTCTTTCCGTCACTTTCTTGATCTCTCTTTCTCTTTCTTTTTTTAAAGTCTCCTTTCTTTTCTTTCTCTTTTTCTCTTTCTTTTTCTCTTTTTCTTCTATCTCTCCCCCTTCTCTCTCTCATTCCACCTCGGCCCTCTCGCTCAAAGAAAATGTGTTAAAAAAACCTTCTCAGCAGAAATGCTACTTATTTATGCAACATTGTGTTCTGTTTCCTTGGTTGGCCATTGTAGACAGGTCTGGCTTTATCATTGACTATTTGGGAGTAATCAAAGTAACATTGATCCATAATTAGTGGGGACATTTAGCTAGGCAATTGGGAAGGATACTTTACCAATCTAAACAGCACATATAAGTGATATAAAGCTCTCTAGGAAACCAAATTCTTCGACACTCTTTAAACTATTTTGAACGAAGCATATCTGTTGATTATGCCACTTACCTTCCGTCGACCTACCACCGTCATCAATGTCGATCAGGCCTTCATACTTCGTGTTGTAAAGCTGCGATCTCCGTATCTTATTGTCGTTGCACACCGTGACTGCCGGGAAGGTTTTTACGACCTCCGAAACGATGTCGATCTTGGTCGAGTACGGTGAGCTCCGGAAATCTTGGTAAACAATCTGCGCCTGCATGACGAGGAGGGCGAAAGCGAGAACGACGATAGCTAACCAGCAGAGACGAATAAGAAGATGCCCACGACCGATGAGGTATCTTATCCCGTGTAGCGTGGTCTCGTTGCTGAAAACGCGCACAGCCCCCACCACGGTGTCGTCGTCGAGTTCGTTAAGTTTCTCCTTCTCAATGTTCCCCATTTTAATTCTTCTTTTAGGCACACTCAATTATTCTTTCGTTGCTTGAAATAACTTCTACATGGAGTATGGGTAATGGGATTTTTTTTTAAATGGCTGGTTTTGGTAAAATTCGCGATAGAACTTTATGGAGACGCGGTAAATGCAACCATTATATTCACTAGAGCCTTACAGATGACTTTACGTGATGTCCTTTATTCACACACGGTCGGGTTTTGAAAGCAGGCCTCTAAGACACCCCGAAATAGCATAAACTCTTTTTAATCGAGGGGCTATAGCTGCCTACCTTTCTTATACGAATATTACATGAGGAGTCTACATCAATACTACCCTACACACTCATGTCGGTTACCAATTGATGTTTTTGTTTTAATTACTCAATCTTCTTTTTGTTTCACTAAAATTGAAAGATCCCGTTCCCGTTACAGCATTATAGAATGGAAAGATATATGAAAACAACAAACCTGGTCCGGACTTACAAACCCGATTGAGCTACGCCACTTCACTAAGTCCACAAGAAATCCCTTAGCAATTAGTTAATGTGTTTGTCAACAGACCTCAAGGCGCAAGCCAAACATCTTATTAATTTTCAGGCACTCACATTTATTGATTTTCACAGCGATATATTAAATACACTTACAAATTAGAGTTTTGATGTCGTAGTCATAAGCCGTTGGCTCAAACGTGTAACCAACGGTGAATATATCCCCCATTTTGATGGCGACACAATGTAAAATGTTTTTTGTTTGCTTAGAGATTCAGTGAAGTTAGTTTTCTGGTCTTTTAATTTCAATGCTCATTAATTTACTAATGGCTAATGAGATTTTGGAACAATGTATATATTGTAGCAACACCCCCCCCCCCCACGAAAAAGGGCATTAATTTTTTAATATTTAAAGTACATGTAATTTGGTCTGATAATGCTGGAATCATGGAGGAGGAATACACAGCTATTAATTTTAGTCACTCCAAGCACGGTAAGGGGTATCTCACTAAGCGGAAAGTACTTATGCAAAAAACAGTTTTTGAGACACTGAAAACTGTTTGTGAACTTTCTTGCAACCTTTTGGGAACCTTTTGAAACCTTTTACGAACCCTGGCGAAACTCCTAATTCGCTACGTTCGCAGAGAGATACCCCATTAATGATAACGACAGTAATGTCCTTTGGCAAGACATTGATTTACATTTGCCACTCTTCACCCATGTAAAGTGAATGGGTAATCGGTAGGAAGAAATTCCTTGAATGCTTTAACGCCTTGTGATGGCGGCTCAGCTACAGATGGGGGTAGTAATAGGATAATTTAAATTAAGCGCAGTAGAGTGTATTACAGAATCGCTATGATATACGCTGTTGGTCATAATGGTGGAATAATTATTTCTACCCCAATTTATGGAATGATTTTGACAATGATTTATTCCTAATAGATCTAGATAATAGAATACATTCTCAATTTTTTTTAAATAACAATTTTTGAGTGTTTGTTTTGCGCGACTGCTAAAGCATGTGTGTGCTACTATGCTAATCAACTATGTTAATCATATCTGACAGTAATTAGGATTAATGAGGATTAAAAAAACAAAAGGGCACTAAGATAGCATATCGACACAGTTTTGATCCTGGAGCTTCACAATAACGAGGCCACTGCACAGCCACTTAATCATGGCTGTAGGTAGCGGGGATGGGGTACGGGGCCGCCCCCACAAATACAAAAACAAAGTTCGACGATAAAAGTTGGAAAGGGGTATTACGGACAAACTATGTCTATTTTATTTTGGTAACAAATAGGTTCAACTGGCCGAGATTTACATCGTAGCCGAGTTTCTTGTACCGGTATTGTATTCGCAGCCGAGTACGCAGGATTTTTTTCGAGGGGGGGGGGGGGGGGGTTAAAATTTGAAAATCACGCCGAAAATTTCGCATCGACTCAGCCAACCGCTGAAAAGAGGGGGGGGGGGGGGGGTAAGAGGACATATTTTTGTTTTGTCTCAAAAATTTCGCAACGTCTCAGCCAGCCGCTGAATAAACGGAGGGGGGGGGGGGGGGGGGGGGCTAAGAGCATTTTTTTGTGTGTGTCCCAAAATGTAAAAATTTGGCCGATCGATATTTCGTTTCGTTTGGGGGGGGGGGGTAAGGTTGGCTTTTTTGGGTCACCCATTACCACAATTTTTTGTTGTTTGGTTTAATTAATATTTTGTTTTTATTTAAGAAAAAAAGAAAAAATTTCCCTCCAAAACACACGCATAACAAAAGTTTAAAGGGAGGGGGGGTACCCCCCCCTGCGTACGCGCAGAAAAAATTGTATCAATATTTTGTTTTTATTTAAGAAAAAAAGTTTTTTTTTTTTCCCTCCAAAACACACGCGCCTGAGTATTCGCAGCATTTTTGAAAGACATTGAAGTTTGATATCCTATTATTTATATGTCATATATTCTCTAATCAAAAGTCTATTATCTTTTTATTCAGGTAAAACGGAATATCTTTATTTTTCTAACTAATAATTTTAAGGAATATATACACTGGTACTTTGGTACTGCGTTCAATGTATTGACCAGTCAGGTTTTTCTTCGCTTATACTTACAGACATCTTCACTTTGTAAAATGTGAAACCAGTGCAATTGCTGAATGATAAATTGAATTCACTGAACTGTAATTATTAAAGTGCTTATTTATTTTGAGAGATCACGTAGTTAAAAAGTTGGAATGCTGAGTCGCCGTGCTAGATAGATTGGTGTGTTTGAATTTGTTATTGCTTTAAAAACATATCAATACTTTCACTCCCATTATTGAGAAAAGTCAGTTTCGTCCCATTAGGGGTAATAGTTGTGGAACGCAAGAAGTGTTAAGTCTGACAGACATGGGATAATAGTTAAGTCACTACCTTTCCTAGTTTCTAGTTGACTATCACACACACACACACACACACACACACACACACGCACACACCAACGCGCGCACACGCACAAAATCTCTCTCTATATATACCTGTCTCTCGCTGTCTCTGTCGCTGTCTCTCTCTCCCTCTCTCTCTCTCTCTCTCTCTCTCTCTCTATGTATACATGTATATATATATATATATATATAATTCATTTTCCCCTCCGCTTCAATATTCATCATAATCTCGTAAACACTTTCTTAAAATGATTCGATGATAAAGCGATGCCGAGAAAGATAAAAACACATATGTCTTGCAACATGAATTATTAGTACATTTATAGAATACATTTAATGAAGAGCGCAGAATAAATACATATCAATCAAACTGGTACGTTTAGCTACAGGAAAATAACTTTTAACACAATGTCAAATGTTTCTTTACTTCCCGCCGCACACGAGGCGTCAAAATAATACCTGGGCCAATCATGTCCACGAAGGAAAAATGGCCCATGTGCCCATAATTGTTTGCACTGATTATTTCCATGCACTTTTTGTAGATGACATTCTCGCTTGGTGCGTCAAGGACTGCGTCACTTGCTGACGCTGTCCTACGTCAGAAAAATAACGTCCCGTGTAAATCAGGCAAAATAAAGACATCAGCCTGTTAGGCACAATATCAAAGGTGATGAAACAACAAGTCAAGACGTTAGTTTACGTTTGCCACTCTCCACCCAGGTGTTAAATGGGTACCCGATAGAATGCGAAAGTTAATGAAGTTTGCTTAATAGCATTGTGAGCGTCTGTGAAATGAAGCCTGGCTCGAATGCTCCCCAGGGAGTGGAGATTGTGCATACACTGTGTGCGGGCAAGCATGAATCTAATGACCGTGGTAATAACATCTCTGTAAAACGTTTAGAGACATCGTTGATGTATTAAGCGCTATATAAAAGCGAAATATTGTTATTAACAAGTCACTCCGTAATCATAAACACATCCAGTTTGAATATTAAAGATCTTGACACTTTTAAGATTGCCCTTCATTTTCAGAGTGAAGAGACTCATTTGATATATATGTAAGAAATATTTTACACATTAATGTCGGTGCAATATCCATCAGATGGTATTTCACTATTGACTGAACATAAACCAATCTACGTCACTCAGTGACTTTTATTCTTTTAAACAACTCACTATTAAATGAATATATGCAATTTTTTTAAAGTGGCATTGCTTCTGACCTGTGCAAATGTATGAACTATTAAGGAATTGCTTACTATTCTCCTTAAACTGCCTTAGTTTTACAATCTATTTTTTTCTTTTTCGAAAGCGACAGAGTTGTTTGGTAAACTTTTGCACAAATGGACGATGCTTTCAGCTATTAGATGTATTTACACAAACACGGACAAATATATTCTCTAACACATTGAAGTAAACACATGTAGCCCTAAAGTACTGATGGAAATGCACACTGAAAATAGCCACTTCTTATACTAGTTTTACAAGTAATAAATAAAAAAGCATTTTAGTGACAGATGAGTTGATATTAATCTAATACTTATTATTTACAATGTAATATTTGAAAGGGCATCCAACACAAAAATAACGTGACTTAAACAAGGCTTAAGATCACGAAAACCAGCTGGGCTGATAGCTTCCTCCTCAGATCTAGCCTGGAATTCTGGACGCATACACGAATCTCATAAATATTAACAAATTGAAATTAACTGTTCAACCTTCTCATACTAAGATACAGGCGAGCCGAAAGCACTTTGGGATAGGGGAGGGGGGCAAACATTCCAAGGGGCTCACCTTTATGGGGCAGTGGCGTAATGAGCAAAAACGTTTGGGTGGCAAAAGAACAATGCATCACCATCATTCTTACATGCTACATGCAGGCCCCGCGGAACACTTTTCAAAGTGGAGTATTAACGATCAGGTAGAGCGTAAATTTTAGGGTCTGGGGGCGGAGCCCTTGGAAGCTCAGCGTTTTGAGGCATTAAATTAAGGTAAGATGATCATCCATGGGCCAGCCACGTTTGATTTTTTTAAAGGGGGGGGGGGCAAGCCCCCCAACAGTACGCCACGATATGCGCATATCGCTATTATAAAAATCCTCCATTGATAAATATAGGAGCATGCGTAATGTCTAGGAAATTTAATTCTTGTTTACTTTCCTTTTATTTGAATGGAATTTGATTTGTATGTCATTCAATACAGGTTTAAATATTTATTATTTCTTTTTGGTTAAAAAATACAAACCATTTATATTCCTTTACTGTTGATTTTTTTCGGGGGGGGGCGCCTATGCTAAGAGAATAACAAATATCAAAGAAATAGTTTAAGATATTTTCAGTTTTGGAGTAGTTTATATTCACATAAAACGATTGCAACTATATACATGCCAACAATCTCTTTTTGGTTAATCCTTCTCGAAATTCAAACCCTAAAAATGTGTAAAATCGGTCTGCAATTACCTTAGTTAAACGTTAGAATATTGAAAAAGCAGCATGCCTTTAGCATTTTTCAACGATTAAAAAAGACGTTTCTTCAAAGTGGAGAAACGGGGAGCGCTCAGAAAAGGCCATGGGTGTCTACTGGTGTATAACGTTTGTTATATACCTCACTTAAGAAATCCAGCCATCTGATTGGTCGAATTGCATTCATAAACTTCAACTGTTCCTGTAAAATTCCCGGTAACCATGCATAAAACATTTAATATTTTTAATAACCATGGTTATTAAAAAAATAGGTCAGCCTCCATGGTTACCCCATAGGTTTACATGTTAAAAAATGGTTTGAGCGATCGAGGATACCGTATGTGTGCGAAGGATTGGTCGGTAATTTCAATACAATTGAATCTCGATCGATCTTACCGACAATTTTATCTTGCACTGTTGACATGAAGACGAAAATAAACTTCCAAAAACAAAAAAACAACATCTGCCGATAGATCTTGATTTAAGTTCGTGCCAATATGCATTGCAAAAGTAAAAGAAGGGTGCTTTTGCGAAGCATTCATCACGCCGAAGCCGGTTTCAATCCATTTTAATGTATATATTGTACAAAACTGCCAAGCATGTGAACAGTGCGCGATGGCAGAGTGGTGTAAGGCGTTGGTGTAAGATTCATCACTCATTGTACGCAAGAGTTCGACTCTCACCTTCGACAAAAAAAAAAAGTATTTTTTATTTTTTATTTTTTAGTCTATTTTTTTTCGGCATATAAAAGTATTAATGACTGCTTTAATATTCGAGAAATAGTTGTTTTCATACGCTCTCGGGAAGGTTACAATTGGGCTATTCCCCTCGGCAAGCCTCGGGGAATAGCACAATTCTAACCTTCCCTTGAGCGTAATAAAACAACTATTTCTCTCAAAGCAGTCATTAATACTATACTGTTAACCGGGGACTTCGGTCGTCGTCGAAACACGCCACACCTTATGACCATCTGAATTCAGTGTTAACCATAATTTTCCGGTTTGATATTTATAAAGACTAAGTTAAATACGCGTTTCACCGCGTTGCGCTCAATTGCCATTCATAAACACTATATACAACAAAAATACCGCGGCGGGTTTTTTCTTTCTTCCAGCGGTTAACCATGTCATATTTAAACCAGCCTTTCAGCATGCTTAGACCGGGTCAAAACATATACTAAGGTAGGTACGCTCTGTATGACAACCAGTCTCAGAGTCCAGAAACTTTGGTTTTCTTCGGACAGAACAGAGACCGCAGCAATTCCATGATGAAGACCAGTATCTCCATCAGTGATATGAAAGACATTCCGACGTAAAGACCCATCAATCCACCCACACCACCGAAAAGAGCTTCCACCTGTCAAGAGACAAATTGATAAAAAAAAGGAAGAATAATAGTAATTCATAATGGTAATGATCATATTCATTTGGTCTTAGTTACCATGTTTAGCCACAGTAGCCACAATACTGTTCTTCATGTGGGCCCTGCAATTATCATTACCTATTCACACATGGGTGTAGGGTGGCAAAATGTGAATTAATGTCTTGTCTAAGGTCACTAGGGCTGGGCTTGAAACTACACCCCTTGGATTGAGAGCCAAGTAAATGAACCACTATACCACGACTGCTCATTATGTGGTCCCTGCAATTATAACCCAGCATTGCTAGGTTCCCAATTCATACGAATGGGTCTAGACTCTAGAGGAATACAGGGGGCCTCTTTGCCATACGTTCCGTAAGACCTATACTAGAGCAGCATCAATACGTAGGTGTTCCCCTCTGATTTGAACCCTATTCGGTGTGTCCATTACTAGTTGTGAGAATAATGTTGCCTCGTTGATTAGGAAAGACAAAGTGAGTGATATGTACTACGTCTAGGCATTTTATTAATAACTAATTTTAATGAAAAATTCACATTGATATTATGTTCCCGCTTTCGACATAGACAACACATGAACATTTTTTTTTTTCGAAAGTGGTTCGTTCGTTCGTGTCTCCTTAGATCAAGATTGGTATCGTGATCTTCGGAGTAGTTGCTACAACCGACCGTCTTCAGACACGTTGGCCCTTGATGCGAGATAGGACTCTTCAAAAGTGGTGAGATGGCCCAATGGTTAAAGGGTTTGTATTCTAAGAGGAAGGTCCCAAGTTCAAAAACAAACTGATGCCCTGATATCCTTGAACAAGGCATCCCTATTTAATACCAAAATCGTCGGATAGAACCGTATATTCCCTGGTTGCAATATATAAGCATTTAAGCCCATCGGCTTCCTAGCAAGTTACAGACATCATTCAATAGCAAGTTTACTGTGGCAGTGAAAGAGACTGACTCAAAGATTTATTTCATTAAATGCATATCTGCGGCAAAATATGTGAATCTAAATGGAATGAAATACACAAACATGAAAATACTCTATTTGTTACAAAATAATAAAGCAAAATGGTTACACTTTATGGTTTCGCAATACTATGAGGACTAAAAGAGCAAAAACATTGAAATTTCAATGTAAAAAGTTTTCTTTTGTCAAAAGTGAAGTTTATACTCATGAAGTGAGTATTAGGAAAAAACAGTAGAAGACTTTTATGTTCTTATTTTGTTTACATACCGTAATCAATGGAGATTCTTGAACCTCTTCGAAATTGAGTTCTTCAAAGAACACCCTAAGTCGGACGAGGTTGTTTCTGTCAAAAGTTAAAATAGCAAAGACACAGTGATGGAAATGTACATATTGATAGTGTCGTAATAATGAATGTCGACTTTTGATAAGATAAGTCGGAGATAAAGTTAATGCCAATATGAATTTGAACTATATACATTGTAAAGTAGGAATCAATGTCTAGTTCGGTTTGACTTAGTTTTGAAATCTCCTAAAAAAGTATAAATAATGCTTTATGATTTTGTTTTTGTTTTTGTTTTATTTTAACTTTTGGCAAAACTGATGCCGGAAATTCTGCGTACCAGTAATTGATTCTGGGTACTCCGTGATATGTTCTCATTATCATTGATGATGTTGCCTAAATAAGATGCAATGCAAGTTGTAGGGAATGATAACCACTCTAAGAAACATAATTAACAATATACGTTAAACTACCGGAAAATAGCATGAAAGTGATACTCCCTCGGCAACTTTAAACTGTCAAAACAAACCTTATTTCTAGAAATTTCATTTTCTGCCCTTTCATATGACACCTAAATCAGGAGAAATGAGCCAGGAATAACAAAGTTCTGTTTTTTAAAGTAATGCTTGCATTTCACCATAATTTTATCAAACGAATCCGTTCCATTGGCTGATTGCCCTTACAACAAACAAAGAAGACGAAAGACTTCATGCATTGCTGATTGTCAACTAAACGGACTTAAGGTTTGTTGATACGGCAGGCAGCCAGTGAAAACGAATTCGTTTGAAAAACTATGGAAACTCAGGCATTACTTTAAACAAACGGAACTTTGTTATTCCTGGCTTATTTTTCCTGATTGAGGTGTCATATGAAAGGGCAGAAAATTAACTTTTTACAAATGTTTTTTTTTCTTTGAAATTCAGAAACCATTCGCCAATCGACTTTTGGGTCTTTTGTCAATTATTTTTAATTACTCATGCGTGAAATATGCGTTGCATGAAATGAAAGAGGACGATCTAAGCTTTACAGATATGCGTCATTTGTTAATTATAATTGTGATAGAGTTATGATAAAACATCGATAACTCTCGGTTTCGTTTCTCTGGGACGCACTGTATATATATATATATATATATATATATATATATATATATATATTTGGAACTTTGTTCGTTAAACGTTTGAGGCACTGTACAGTATATTAATCGTTGACGTTAGAACTTATTCGAGTTAGAGTTAGATGAATGTTGATTCATTAGGAACCTCAAGACAGGAGCAAATAAAGGTGAGTTATTCTGCATGATTATACATTTCTTATGTAGGATATAAATCAAATATACACTGCCTTCTTTTCGAGGTACTGGTAAAAACTATGGGCCTCGGTGACTCGACCAGTACTATTCGGGTCACCTCTCACCAATAGTATTATCCAGAACCTCTCAAGACAGTGTATATTTGTATGGTAACGTACCTCGACTGCTCAGCATTGGTAAGAATTTTAGCTGCTTTTGCGCTGATATTCGCCAGCCTGTGGTACATATGAGCCTGTAAGACATACATGTAAACAGAAAGAAAGGTTTCTTATCGACTATTCCCAAAAAGGAATAAATCCTGCAACTACCATGTTTACAGTTTATCAAAAGCCGCAGTCACGAATTGAACGTGAAGGGTCAACCTTTTGCTGCCTGAATCTCTCTTGTGTTATTTGTTGCAATTTCTTTTTTTTAATTTAATGGTGTAATTAATATCATAACAAGATTTGAAGCTACTCGATTGCTCATCAATGGTATATACAAATCGGCATCCTATAAGGCGCTGTTTTGAGAGATCACCCGACCAACAATCTAGTCGTCTTTCCTTAATTTTCTTTATTGTGTCGGTCTCATGAACTTTCGGTCTTACTTATAGATGACCACGAATTTTTGTTCGACCATTATCATGTTTGGTGCGGGCGAAGGGATTCCCCCCTCCCACTCACCATACCCTTTATAATATAGAATTGTGTCATTGGGAAAATCGAAATGTAGGGGAGAGATCTTAATCATGCATGAGCCTACCTCGTATCTTACACCTGGCCATCGTGATGTTGATATTGTCGGGTTAAACAAAGTTTCACTGTAGGAAGAAAAAAAAAGATATTGAGACTTGAGAGACACAATCACGACTGCTTTTGAAAAATGACACTTGTGAATCCCATATTGAAATGTGTGAACTCGACAACGAGGTATTATGTAATCTGACAATTGGTATTGCTTTTGCGCTTGTGTTGTTTCCATTTATAGTATACATCTTATTGGGGGAAATGGTTTGATGCCCTTTGTCTACAACGATCTTTTTTTTGGGGGGGGGGGGTGGGGAGGGGCAAATCGAATGTGCATTTTTAGTGGAACAAAAATAAGTTTTTTTTTCATTTTGACCACAAAAAAATGAAATAAATTAAAAATCTGGTGCATCAAAGGCCTTGCTAGCTGTTGAGGCAATCATACGTCAATAAATTGGCGCTCCGCTTACAACGACTAAAAATTTGAGGAACCAAATAAATGGGATTGATTAGGATGAAAGTTTGGAACGTATCACGCAGACAACTGTGAGCGAAATTTCTCTATTTACCTTGTCAAAATTGGGTACTGCCACCTACAAATTGAGTAGACGTTGATAACATTATCTTGTAGGAAATTTTTTTTTCTCCTGATTTTGTGCCGATTAAAAATTCAGAACTTAAAGGGATAGTTGAGTTCTGTTGCAGAGGGCGCTACACAAAATAATTTTGTCGTGAGATAATGAAAAACTGAGTGTCAAATTTGAACATAATATTTAAATGACAACATCATCTTTGTTTGATCAAAATCGGTTCAGAGATGGCTGAAATATAACAATTTCTAATACTTGTGTACCACAACAAATATTAGATATTTTGAAAAATTTGAAAAAACCGTTGAAAAAACGAAATAACGCCTTTTACGTCGTATTTCAGCCAATGTCGATGTTGGCTTTTTTGTTGGCATTTTCGTGTTGCTTATCTGATGCACAACCAGCCGGCCCATGTAGTGTTATTTTTAATTAAATAATTAATTAACGGTCACCATGTTTTTTTTACGTGGAGCTGAATTGGTATGATCGTATTGGCTAAATTTCACACATTTCGGGATCTAAAATTACCTTCATAACTAAAAGGGCACTAGAAATGTCATAGATAAGAATAAGAGCAATAACCATACACTTTGAAGGCATGTGCGGTCTGAAAACAGGACTCAACTTGATCCACTCCTAGGAGACTTGCACTTGCATTAGCTAGTTTCTTATAATATTTAATTACATGCACTGTAAATCGCAAACCGTTTCTCACCTGCAAGGGTTGGAACATTGGCATCCAAGGTTGTTTTTCAGAAACTCTCTTAAAACAAGTGACCTGCATTTTACTGTAACAAAATGAATGAATAAAAAAAGTACTTGTAATTGTATCAAGCACTGATTATCATTATCTAACAAGTAAAACAAAATGTGTGTGTGTGGGTGTGTGTGTATAGAGGGGGGGGGGGGGGGTCTTCCTCAAAAATCCCGTAGGCTATCAAATTTCCATTCTTAATATCCTACTCCTTATGTCCAGGAACTTACCATTGTTCAATATCATCAGTGTAGCCCCACAAAGATGCAACAGAAGAAGCTCATTAAGTTAAACCTTCTTTCGTAAATAGTATTGTGTAACTAACATTTTTTTCTTCAAACAGCGCTTGTTAGAGCTTTAGTCCCGGAGCTAATGTTGCGACGCTGTAAATAGTAACTTTAAAAAGTTTAAATTCCAAAGTTCAGCTTTGAGAAAACATTTAGTAGTGTCGTAGGTTCGGTCCCGGTACGGCACTAATGTCCTTGAGCAAGGCATCGTAATAGTATCCAGTGATTGGGGTAATAATACTTTGGTCGGTTACGTTCGAAATCGTTGTTATTATAATTATCATTATGATTATCATTTTTACAGCTGTTATTATTGTGATGATGATGATGATGATTATTATTTTTTGATTATTAATATTATTATTACTATTATTATTATTATTATTATTAATAGTATCATTAATATTATTAATATCATTATTAATATCATTATTATCATAATGATTATTAATATCATGCTAATCAATATTATAATCATTATTATTATTTTTATCAGTATCATCATTATTACTACTATTATTATCATTATCTATATTATTATTGTACCTTGCTCTTTGTCGATGGCCCCACACATGTCTCCATCGATGAGGATGTCGGTTATGCAGGAACAGTTCTGTTTCATGATCTTTTGAAGGCAAAGCTTCATACAGGATCGCCGGTTGAAGTCGTATTTCTCGGGTTCGTAGTACTCTGATGACTCGTCACTCTTGCAGTCACCGAACGGCTTGGGCAGTCGGGTGATTGTTGTCTAATGGAGGAAAAGATAGACATTGAGCTTGTCGAACTAGACATCGTATTTGCACTTCTTTTGAATGCAGAAGAGTGAACATTAACTCCGAAATTGGTAGGCGTACCAGTAATGCTGGGTATTAATTAGTGCAGGGCCCACAAGAAGAGCAGAGGTAGTAGTAGTAGTAGTAGTAGTAGTAGTAGTAGTAGTAGTACAATTATTATGATTAGTATTGGTAAGCAAAACGTCATAATACCTTCTTTAGCCCGATGGAAGTGGCGATTCCAGGCGCTGCCATAAAGCCGTCGTCTTCAGGGAACGCGTGTATGCGGGGGTCGTTGATGGCGACTTTGACACCAGAATCCGGGCTGAGAATACCGATGTATTCGGGCTGCTCCACCATCAATGTCAGATGAAGGCCTGGGTTATAAGATAAGAGGAGAGCATCAAACACCTGCACCAAACTATAATTTGTCTATATAATTGTTTTACAAACGGCGCCTCATACCAAACACGAGCGCAAGGACTTTCGAAAATCAACATATGCAATTTCAATCACATCGTGCATGACCTACAATTATAAGTGAAATGGGCAAAACATATATAACAGAATACCATATTACATTATTAGAACAAGCCTACATTTCTGGGAAGTCTTTGCAATTGCGTTTTCAGCAGTACTGAAATTTTGTTGATGAAAATGATGATTCGATTCAATTATATATTTCAAAAAAAATATATATGTATATAATCATATATGTTTATCCACTGTTGAATGCACGAATAGAACTTACTGGGCCTAAACATACTTTTGACTGAAACCATGCCAAGGGAAATTCAGGAATACAACCCTGATAACATTGTTATTCTTTCTGGTATGCTTTGGGTACAATGGTCACTTCAGTATAATCACGTTTTCAGTGACCTTGTAATATATTCCATGGTTGCATATTCTGGAAGAATTTCAATAGAACAGAAAATTCTGACATGTTTTGATTCTCTAAAAAGTATGAAAGAAGAAAAAAGAATTTCTGTCACAGCTCGAGGACTCTTATCAGTTCGTGGGTTGCATAATTGTGATTGAAAACAATTTATATGTTATCCCTAGTTTCATTTTATTGTTGAAAACTATAACTAAACGTCAACCTTGTACTGGCTTATACTGACAATAAGCTATACAAAGTCAATGACTTTTCCTTACGTGTCCTTTTCGTTTGACTGCTTTATTATAATCCCATAAGCTCGATTCCATAATAGTATACAGTGTGTATCTATATTCATATTGTTGACATTTCTTTTATTCTCGAAACAAGATGAAAACAAAAACAAACATTTCTATCACAATTTCACGACTCTTTTCAAATCGTGGGTTGCAACCGTTGCATTATGATCGAAAACAGATATAGCGTTCGACTAGTTTTGTTTTCAATTGTTGAAAACTACAACCAAAAGTCAACCTTGAACTGACTTAAACTGATAATAAGCTATATAAATATTATGAATATGGTGTCATTGGGCAGAAAACAAGTTAATCTTCATCATGAAATAGATTGGTTATGAATTGGTATCATATTGGTTATGAATTTTAGATCAGGAGCTACAAGAGTTGGGTACACTTTTTGTATACGCACTGAAACGCACAATTTGTACTCACGAAATATTGCCGAAACGGATATTTCAACAAAACTATTCCTTCGGCAACACTCCGTATATATTCGCATATATAGTTATATTTGATTCAATGATGTTATTGTTTTCCGAAGAGGAACAGAAGTCGTCGCAAGAATTTTCCGATTGAAACTAACATGCTTTAATTTCTTTATCCATCCGAATGTTCGTTTTGTTACGAAGAGTATTAATATAGGATTTATTGAAATCAAATAAAAGCACTTCAAAAAAATGAGAATAAACGGTCCGAATACTGCCACCTGTCCTTGGTATAATATAAAATATAAAATATAAGTCAAGTATACATAATAGAATGGCATCAACGAAAACATAAATAAGTTACATAACTGAGTTAAAATATCCTGTAAACACTATCACCACTGAATATTGCAAAAAAGACATATAAACCCTAACATCGACAATAGAGGACTCTCGAGCTGTGCAATAACTAAATCAGGCACAAACCGAGAGTCAACAACAAACAAATCCTTCACAATTTAAGAAGATGCAGGGGTTTTAAAATATTAACGATTAAAGACAAAGAGAGAGAGAGAGATGGACAGGCAGAGAGATAGAGAGAGAGAGAGACAGAGAGAGAGAGACAGAGAGACAGAGAGACAGAGAGACAGAGAGAGAGGGGGGGGGAAAGGGGTGGGGGTAGAGATGGAGAAGACAGTCAGTGAGGCAGACAAAGATAAGGAGCCGTGCTGCCGAAAGACAGAAGGTGATACTAGATAGACTGCCAAAATAAAGAAGAAATTTGCTTTCCTTCAGTTATAATTAGAAGCATTTATGGTCTTGGCAAATACATACCGTATTGACTGCCAGTCCGCGTAGTATTGATGGTTGTACTTCTGTTCAGTTTATGTGCGTTGTTAAACACGAAACAGTTTCCGTAGTTGACATTTTGAATGACTGTGAAATTTCTAAAAATGGCGGAAGAAAAACAAAAAGAAATATACGGTATTTTGTGAAGAGGTCATTCAGCAAGTCCTAAAAAATTCACTTAAATTCAGATTATTCAGTTCAATTCAATTCTACAGAAGAGGCAAATCATGACTTGAAAATGGGGAATAACGCACATTGTATGTAGAACCATCAACGGTAAATGCGAGGCAGTGTTTACAAAAGACATGGCGAAACTTGTGCTTAGTCAACTTGATGTCCCTTTTATATTTTTGAAAAATAATGCTGTGGGTCAATTTTCATCAAATCCCTGCTCACTGACTGTGGAATGCTTTCCGTTTTTTAAATATTTGTCGTTTTCCAGATTTTTTTTCTGACTGTTAGTCGATAGTCATGAATTTCTTCAAATAGAACATAAATACTTTTTAAACAGCACAAGTTTTTAGAAATCTATTACTTGATCTTCATGAAGTGTGCAATCAATAATTACGTCAAGTATTGTTTGCTGCTGTCTTCCCTAGCAGGATCAAGAGAATTTGACTAATTTTCTAATAGACGATCGTTAATTAATCAACATTTGCCACTCTTCACCAAGGTGTAAATGGGTACCCTGTAAAGACGGCTAAATATTGGACTTCTTTGCAATGACCGGGGTAATAACGCTGGTGCGCCTATTAAAACAAGTGCACTTTTTTCTGAGAAGCCACCAACCATAGCATTACACATGACGAGTAAAATGCACGCAAATGCAGCTAGGATCATTAAATTACTATGCAATTCGACATCTCAACCCCCCCCCTCGATTTTTTTTGACAGTCTAAACAGTCCTACCCGGTTCGGTCAGCAGCCAATGTCGGAGATAGGGAATACATCTTCCCTGTCACTTTTTTTCTTCTCCTTGGGTGGGGCGACCCCTTTGTCCTCCTTGGCTCGCTAGAGAATGCATGAAGGATATTAGCTACGCCATTATTAATCACTCACTTGTAACTACACGGCTGGGTATCAAAGGTGCATTGCAGAATGAAATCTTTTGCCTGATGTCCGTATTTCTTCAGCTCTTCCTCCGTCGGTCTGACTACGGCCTGGAAATCGCTAAAGTCGCTTGCCGTGGAACTCTCGTAGAATCTCTCCCAATCATTCGGGTCTTCTATGCTGTCCCATGTATCGTAATTGTAGTCATAATCTGGGCAAACAAATAAAGAGTGGACGAGTGGAAACAAAAGGAATAATGACATCATTGTTTAAGAATGTACGATACAGTTCAGTCCAGTTAAATTTGTCTGGGTTTATTTACCATCTTGTACTGAATTCATTCGAAATATTCATTCTCTATGTAATACATCATGTTAAAGACATTCACTAAGATATGAATACGATTCTCTCACTTTGATACAATTACAGTCTAACATAGCTTTATTTCTCAATAAAATCGTATCGTCAAAATTGAGTGGTTCCAGATAGGAAGGGGGGTGGTTCTCATTAGAATTTGTCTTGATGACCGAAATCTTGACAAAACAGGAAGTAAATACTATAGGGTATACTCATGCTTAGAGAGTTTAAGTTCAGCCCTCATGAAGAGTACTCAGCTTTTCACAGAGTGCAATGACAAGGGATATGATGGAAGTCAGAATGTATGTTAATATAAAGAGACAAAACACTAAACTGTAAGAATTGTCGCTGCTAACTGCACGACGACGACGACGACGACCAGGTTGAGGAGTGGTTGAGGGGTCACCCCCTGGCGAACTGGGAGACGCATCATCGCTACTGAAGAACCAATCGTAGTCGGAATCGTCGTGGCCGATTCCGTCGATGTCACTAGCCTTGTCCAAATCGGCTAGGGCTTCGAACCTGGTCCCTACACAAGATATAAAGATTTTTTTTAAATCATAGTTGATAATCCTATAAGTGAACAGTTACGGTTTAAAGGTTCAATAAAAATTATACATAAGTATTGAATATTTTTAAAGATCAACTGCATAAGGGGATCGAGGTACTTCAATATGGCCCCGGCTCTGCTAGGCTACCTACCAGTACTTATTTAAACCTTGATGGAAAGTGGCAAATGTAGATTAATATATTGCCACAGGAAAATAGTCATACAGCGGGACTCGAATCGCGATCCCTGCGATCCACAGTCTGACGACGTATCCACTAGCAAAAGATACCTCTAGTCAGTGATTTCTGACTTATCTAATTATTTTTCCCATGTGTAATAACGTCAACGTATCAATATCCATTTAAGGATTAAATTTAAATGTCATATGCTTCATGGTTGTGTAGTCATGTATCGAAATCTGTAGGTTCTGTGTCTGGTGTTTGTGGTTTTTATTTTTTTTAAATATTATTTGATAATACAGTAGGCTTGCGGGTGCACCATGTGAGAGAGAGGGAGGATTGAGAAGTCCTGAAAAGGACTTTCGGTAATCTTTCTTGAGGGTTTGTAGTCCTGAAAAGGACTGTTGGTATAGTCTTGAAAAGACTGTTGGTTATCTTTCTTAGCTTATAGTTCTAAGGAGAACTATAGCGCTTGGAGAGGATGAGTGGCGGGAGTGGCTCATTATTTGATAATGTTTCTCAGTCAATTATTATAAAAAATATTCCTGATAATGAATGGGAAAAAAAAAATCAACAAAAAACGGGCTATAAAAAGGAGAAAATGTATTAGAAATTAAAAGGTCTACCGTTCAGTTGTGATCTTCTCATCATGTTCAGGTTACAGATCGTGACGGACGGGAATTCGAGCTTCGATTTGGTGACGAGCGAGATTTTGGTCGTAGTCGGCCGACCAATGAAGGAGATGACGAGCTTCGAGCCCTGGTAAAGAAGTGCAGCCATGAGTCCTACTGTGACAAGGCACCAAAACAGCCGGGAAATCGACGAGCGAGACGAATTCAGGACTCGCGGTATCCCATGGGTGGACGCGTTGTCGACGAAATCTTCGACGATTGTTTTGGTGCCAGATTTTGGGACGTCGTCGTCGTCGTTGTCATAGTCGGACATCTTTTGTGAGATCGTGTTAGGGCCGTTGCTGATTGGTAGAGTGTTCATGGCGACGTTTTCTTTCCTGTACATGCCGGAAGCAAAGAACAAAAGTGAGCAACTAAAGTTGAAGACTATGACTTTGTGTCTTCCAAATGTGTCGTCTTTTCAAAATGAGTATCCCGTCACTTTCCTCATGTTCTGGCACTTTTTTTAGGCGGCCGGCCGGGAGGGTCAGATATTCTCTAGGAATACCTAATTCCTTAATAAAAAAACACACATTCGTTCTAGGTTCCTCCTACCTTTCTTCCAGTCTTTTAGCCACTCTGCGGATGTTCTGTAGAACAAGCCATAACGAGTGTATGCGTGCGCGCGCGTCTATGTATGGCCACCGGTGTGGGCAAGGGCGCGTGCGTATATGTGTGAGCGTGGGTACGTGCGTGCATGCGTGGGTGTGTGTGCGTGCGTGCGTGTTTGTGTGTAGGTGGGTTGTTTCATACGTGTACCAACTATCAATAAGATATGATTGGAGACCGACAATTCAATTTCTGGTCTGAAAGACCCGACTCGGTATTGAAGCTGAGTGCTTCAGAGTCTGTTCGAAGGCTGATATACCGCTTATCAACTCATATCAGTCATCAGACGACATTTTACCGTTCCCGAAAATAGACAAAATTAAAAGGGCACACGTACAAAAGAATCCTTTTTAAACAGACTATTGCATTTACATACGAAAATTACATTGTTTCAAAGGTAGGCCTACATATCGAAATCTTTAAAAAAAAAAATAGTTTTAGGAATTTTTTAAAAAGTAGTAACAAAATAAGCTATGGTTTGATTCACTGGGTCCCAATTTATGGTATCTTTTCCCAGCTTGTAGATTGAATGTCAGAAACTTGTTAAACACACATACATTTTTATACTTTTGCAGTGTTATTCCACTACAGGTCTTCATATTTTCCTTTAAGTGGGTTGTCGATTCTCCTCTTGGGCTAGAAAATCGTATTTTCCCTTCCCACAATTTTTTTTTTGGAGACTTTGACACGTCTGATGTTTTTAGATGTGACCAGGGTATTTTCAATAACACAAAATTCCAAACACGTTTAATGCGATAAAATCGATATTCGTATTTTGATATGAAGTCTTCATCATATTTCCGCTTCGAGACAACTCATTGCTGCTAGAGGGACAAAGACGACGTCAGATCCTGCAACGACAATACGATCAGTTTTGATGCATTACGTGTTGTGTATACACGGATACACCAAAACATAATCTCCAGAGATGATATCGAGAACTGATATCACACAAAAGAATTTTAACCTTGTCTATAAAATAGGATATTTTTACGGGTATCCTATTGGGTGAAAAGTTGTCACCGTGACACTTAACAATTTGTTATATGAAATGTGAAATATGTTAGTAAGTATCCTATTGGCTGAAAATCTGTCACATGACACTCAACACATTATGTGCACGGGACCCAAGTCCAAACCCAAGTCCAAAGCCAAGGAGCAAGGAGCAGATCAGAAATACCCTCAATTTTTTATATATGATAATTATTACATGCATTTCGTTGTTCAATGTTACATGAATGATATTCAGCTCCCATACAGACCTCCCATAATGCCATTCTATTTCAACGTCAGCCTATCGCCTCGGTGAAAAAGAACATCACTCGGGAAATGTTGAATTTGTCTGCGCTTGACGATATTTCACATTCATAACAGATGATTGAATGAGAGTGTAGGCCGTACCAGAGAGAAGGCTTTAATAAAATGGGGGAGGGGGGGCGTAACCAAAGATAGATGTGCGTAAAGAGGTGTTGGAATCTTCAAGCCAATCAGTGAAGAAAACAAAATATAAACAGATTTGGCAACTCTCGTGGAAGTAAATGCACTACAAAAGGAAAATGAAGAATTCCCCGCTGTTAACCTCATTTATTAATTTTTGGTAAAGGTTGAACATGATATCTTTGCCCAGGATCCTTCTCTATACCAAATACTAACCCTAAACCTAAACCCAACGAAAAATCCAATCCCAATCTTAATCTTTAAAAATAAACTTTTTAACGAAATAAAAACCCGGACGCCGGAATCACCCAATGTATCCTTAACATGCTTCAAGATAAAGGTGAGTTCTGGTTAAAAAAAGGAAAGGAAAATAATTCTTACAGAATTAAACAAAACTTACAAATAAATGTCATTTACCAAACAATTTTGGTAGAAAATGTATACTGGCTGAGTAATGAGCATAGAAAGATTAGAAATTCAAGGTAAGTAGCCCCGACACCATTTGTGTAGTCCCATATACATCTTTCTGTGTACACTGCTTGTTACTTTACCAAGACTGGGCCAAATTTATTATTATTTTGATGACTCCAGAACTTTGCAGTACACACCAATACTTACATGCTACATGATCAACTTTTTCTGATCCATTCCACACCTTTTCTTTCAAAATGCAATCGGATGACCAGAACTCACATTTATCTTTAATAACCAACTACATGTACTTATACGACACTCTTTTCATAAGGTTGTTAGTAAGTAATAAGACATATCCATGGAAATGAAACCGATATACTCCATTATCATGTCATTAGATAAGGTGCATGTACATCTTTTAAATAAGTGACACAATTATGGCAAAGCCATTTTCTAATTACAAACATACACTATTAGAGGCTTGTAGGGATTGACAGTTGTGACATCCGTTGCTATGGAAACAAGGTGTAAATACATCAATTCCGTAAATACAATACATCATCAAGAGACATGCATCATGACACAATCATGACAAAACAGTGATCTGAATGGAAATAAAAGGTAATTTCCATGCTTTATAAGGCAAGAAAGAAAATAAATCATCCTACTTCCGGTAAATAAAAATGCTGAAACGTACATAGAAACATCAGCATCCTAATGAGTTTTTGCATCGTGAACTTCTCTGAATTAAAACAGTCATGGCAATTTATCTTTATTAAGACGAATAAACTATTTTATAGACCCGAGAGAGAGAGGGAGAGAGAGAGAGAGAGAGAGAGAGAGAGAGAGAAGTGTGTGTGAGAGAGAGAGAGAGAGAGAGAGAGAGAGAGAGAGAGAGAGAAACATTATTGTCATCTCATTTCTAATAATTGACATTATTTCCATGGAAAACTAACTTAATTCTTTTTCAATATAAAGCCTTTATTCGATGATTTATCATGGTATTTCAGAGAATGCTAGCGATTTTTGTGTGTGGATGGAAATGAAAAGTAATTATTTACACGTTGTAGGCTTCTTTGAAACGATAATTATTTGTTGGGGTTACACCTAGACCTATGGAGATGGGGAGAGAGAGAGAGAGAGAGTCATCTCATTTCTGATAATTGAAAGTGCTGACATCACCATGACAATATGAATTACATCCGATAAGCCATTTTTCATGACATTATGAGAAATTTAATTAGATGAGGTGCATGTACATCTTTTAAATCTCATCTCTTTTTGAAGAACTGGTAGGCCTTGGACGATAGGGTAACTATTCCCAGTTCTGCTAATTGAAAAATGGTGCTAGTGTCATGTAAATATTTGACTTGAAATAAAAATAAATTCTACACTAATTGTTGGCCTGAAGAGAGGTGGCTCAAGTCATCCCATTTCTAATAGCATAAAATGATGACATTTCCACAGAATTGTAATTTACATGCTATAAATCCACGTTTCATTAAGTAAAATGAGTGAAAAATCATGAAAAGCTATTTTCATGGAAGCAAACACCTATTTTTCACAGCTTCCAGACTAATCGAGATGGGTGGAGAGAGAGTAAGAGAGAGAGAGAGAGAGAGAGAGAGATAGAGTAAGAGAGAGAGAGAAAGAGAGGAGGAGGAGAGAGAGAGAGAGAAAGCGTAAACTGTAAGAGGACACAAAAGGAGTCAACAGAGAGAGATATATGTCAATATATTTTACATCCTATGAGCCATATTCATGACAGTGATAATAAAAAAACAACTATTACAAGTTGTCTTCACGAAAACAATCTATTTTCCAATAATTGACAATGACGAAATTGCCTATATATTTTATCCCTTTTCATGAAAATTAGGACCATGATGACAAGTCATTTGAAACGAAGTAAAAACTAATATAGGCCGAGAAGAGTGTCGATTATCACATTGTAAATAATTATTAATGTTGGTGTTTCCATAGAACCAGTTCTATAAACAAATAAATTCATTATATATAATGAATATAATGAATAATTGAAAATTATAAAATTGCCTATTATCACTTTTCATAGAAATTAGGACCATGGTGACAAGTCATTAGTAACGAAGTAAAAACTGATATAGGCCGAGGAGAGTGTCGCTTTTCACATTATAAATAATTATTTATGTTGGCGTTTCCATAGAGCCATTACTATAAACAGATAAATGCATTAGATATAACAGCCTCCTGCCAAATTTAAGGGAAATTGACACAAATACGACTTTTGCATGAAAGGCCATCGGATGTGGACTAAAAAGAGCATCAATTACTCTTTAGATCTAATAAGTGGAGGGCCAAGGTCTGAAAAAGGGGTTCGCCTGCCACAACCACACATACTACTAAATGGCGAATCACTATTGTCAATTTAATATACCGAGATACTGGCCAAAATTGGAGGGACAAAAATATCTACGTCAAACACTTTATCGGCTCAAAATTTATATTTCACACACTACATCACTCAATGAAATTGATACCTACTTAAAGGTATTTCAATCATGGTGATTGGAGGTTTAACGTAAAAGTTATCTTTAAAACTCGATTTAACACACCAAACACGTCCTCAATTCACCAATACACGAATGGAGACACAGTTTATACACATGCAGATGGGCAAAGATGCCGTTTTTGTGGAAATCAAATCAACAACTTTGGGTTGCTATAACTTTTCATCGAAGAAAGAAAAGAGCCTCTCCTGCGCCCATGATTTTGTCTTTGTACATAAGGTGCAAGGACTTTCGAGTCTGTAATTTATAACATGAACATTGTTAGGTTTTAATCAAAAGTTTCTTTTATATTGTATTATATGTATACATAAATATAATCCTGCTGCACATCACTAAACATAGACGTATATGGGCACAATAACTCGAGGGGGATTCTTAAATCACGTTTTTCAGGTGGGCTGTATAACGTACAGACCACCTT